TTTTTCGAAATATAATGCATATATAGAAACAAATATTACGAAGTTATTAATATTATTATTTATTACTTAGCGCATGTCCATCGTAAATTCCGTGAATCGTACAGTTAAATAATTTGATTTTTGTGTTATAAGATAAAGTTTGCTAAAAATACCAATACGATAGTAACTCTCCAGGTAACTTTAAAAATATTATAAAAATCCGTTTAATTTGTTTAAATTGATTTTCGTTTGTGACTTTTTGTTTAAATGAGTAATGTTCAAAATATAATTTAATTTCAATTCAACATAGTTCCATACAGTTCAATAAAATGTAAAAAAATACTGTTGATATATTTTAAAGTATATTTTTTGTTGAATATTAATTATTTAATAAATCGTATACATTTTAAAATGAAATAAATTTAATAAATAATATAAATTTATTTTTGTTTGCATATTTTGAGTGCATATTTGAATGATAACAATCGCATAAATGTATGCATATTTCGTACGTTTTCAGAGCATATAATTTCGGGCCCTAATTATTACTATTATATAAAAACCAACAACGATCTAGGAAATTTTCAATCTTTTTACAGTGTCTATTCTTCACCATTTTATGTTCAATACGGTTTAGCTAAACCACCGCCGCCAGTTAACGATACTATTGTTCATAGTGAATAGTATTAGAATGTAAGCCAAATCTGTCCTCATGAAGGCGCACAGTGCAGTATTGTAGACGATTTATTAGCTACACATAATCATAGGTTCAATATTAAATTAATTAAGCAATTGATGATGAGTAACTGTGTGAACAAAGTTAAAAAAAAAAGCGTATCCGAGTTAAGTCCAAAATAACGTTTATGATAAAGATATCAAACAAATTGAGTCCGATTATAAAAACGATAACATACGAGTTCGGTCCGGCTATATAAATCATAAAATACTAGTTTAGTCCGACCACTACAACAGTAAAATCTGTAACTTACAAATATGGACATACTTGATAATGTTAAAAATGTATAGATTTTAGTTTGTAAAAGTTGTATCGTTAAAATGTTTACCCATTGTGTAAGTTTTTAAATTTTTTAATAATTTATTTGTTTATTATAAACCAGTATTCTAATGTTCAATTAATAATTTATGCCATGTATTAGAAATTAAAAAAAAAAAAATCATACCTGTGTTCTAGTTTATAGAGAACTGACAATCCTAAGTCTATAAAAATGAGAAAGGAAATGTTTTTTTTTTTTTTTGTATGGATCCAATTAGAGTAGTACATGTAAAATCGTGGGACCCAACTGGTGTACTACCTGAAAAATACCGGAAGCCAACTAGTATACTACTTAAAAAGCACTGAGACTCAACTAGACTAAATAAGGGTCTTCGGGACCCAACTAGTAAACGCCGAAGAAAAAAGCTTAGTAATTGGCATTTTATCCATGAACTACACGAGTAGAAGCTGTATTATGTATATTGAGATGCTGCGAAAATCCGTATGAATAATATGCTTTGATTTTAACAATCGATGAAAAAACATGGACGAAAAAAATAAAATCATCATTTAATTTACTATACAAATAATTTATAGCCGTGATTACCACAATGCATTATTGGTAATACAGCGCTGCGCATCTAAATGCAAGAAGAGCTAATATTTAAGTAGATAAAATATTTTACGACCGTCGCGTTCATACAGTTAAAAATAACGCATGGAACAAAGTGAACGCATAATCGATGATCTTGCGTCGAAAAGTTTTTGATGATATACAAAAGATAAAAAATCAGTTAAAATAAAATATTAAAATAGCTATTCCAATGATTTGTTTTTTGTTTTTTTTTGTTTCAACGTTTCTTACTACTTAAACATATAACGTCGTTTGTTTCTAAGCCTTCAATTATCATCGGTATGTATATATTATGTCCATCGACATCCATTCAAATCGAATCGTGTTATGTTTTTTCGTACTCCGAGAATATGATTGCTTCCGAGTTATACGAAAAAATTAATGTAAAATATATTAAGTGGTGTAAATTCTAATTCAAAATCTCATTTGGCTGTAAATCTATCATTGCGATTTCCATATCATTACGGGCAAGCAAGGTTACGAAGTGTTTTTAACAAGTTTCTTTGTTTGGAACTAGCGTTTTAACATTTTTGTGAGAATAAAAAAAAAAAAAAAACCTTTCAAAATACTATTACTTTTTGCAGTGAAATCAATCATACTCATAGTTTTCTTGTAGACGAAGTAAAAATATCAGTACCACCGATGATCAATACCATTATTCAAAACAATCAATATTGTTGTTAAATCGGTAAACAATTGCTATACAAATTAAGGTCATATCTTTTTCGGTACAAATAAAGGTAACATCATTTCTATGTTAAGAAAGTGATTTATAATAACCAATAAATACACATTAAACATTTGAACATTTTTGATTTATTTTACCTATCAGTGGTTTGTATAATTTTTTACTACATAATAGTCAGTATAACACTTGTTTTTTCATGAAGATATTTTTTTAGTATTCTTAACAAATTACAACTATGATAAATGGATTTTAACTTATTTATATTTATTATACTATTTATCCATCCATATAAGGGTATATGTTGGGCATATAATTATACTATACATTGTCGTTTTGAAGTACACATATGTATATAATCGCTATAGAGGGGGAAGGGTCAACGAACCGAAAACCAATGAACCAATGTATTTTTTTATTATTTTATAAAAATTAATAACTATGTCCTAAGGCCTAAGCACATAAGAAACTAGTGTAGATATTTAATTATTACTAGTTAATATACATACTTTAAATTATTTATAAATAAAAAATTCAAATACTTCTGATTCACTAATTTATTAGCGTACAACTAAAACTTCTATATTAATATATCTGAAACTTTGAGGGATTGTACTTATTGCAAAGTACATGTGTACTAAGAAATAATTTTTCGAAAATTACATTTGTAAAGGTTAAAATCGTTTTAGGCACTGGGCTTGATGTATAAATGTTTTAACTTTTTGGTTTGGAAATATTTAATTTAATTTAGTATTTTGATTTTGCTGGTTGAAATATATAAATAAATAAAAATATAATTATCCTTAGAATATTGAAACATCTTTATCAATCCTAATTTTTTGTTTTTTTTTACATCGAAATAGTAATTGCTCTAATTTCTAATTTCATATATATACCAGAAGAAACCGAGATCATCGATTTGTATTTTATATAGTTGTAAATTTTAATTATTTATAAAAGTATTACAGCGGATTATTAATTTAAGGACTTTTCAGCCTCCCCCCCTATCAATACACCCCTGATTAATTTACGGAACACAATTTGTTAAAGAAATAAAATTTTTATTATAATACTTTAGAACCTACTGAAATTTATTTAATATTATAAATAGATAACTTACAAATGATGAATTTAAGTTAACGCAAATTATGCTTCGTACTTTAACACATTGTAAAATATAAAAAAAGTTAAACAAAATATTATGTTTATTCAATTTTTGCATTTGAATAAAAACTATTTACAGTACAAATCATATTAAAATAATTTAATGTTTCGTTAATTTTATAATAACATTATTATAACTAAATTTAATCAATGTTGACATCAATTCGTTATTTTTTTTAATTATTTAATATTTGTTTTCCAATTAAATAGTTTTTAACAAAAAAGTATTGATTTTTTACAAAATGATATTTAACGTATTAAAAAATAAATAAATGAGCAATTTACATACACACACGTGTGCACGTACGCACGCATACGTAATAATAAGATGCGTTATTGTTCTTGAAAAAAAATCTATTTTCTATTCTAATCAACTTATGTGGATACGTACTCGGTTTTTGTAAATAAATAAAGTTTCTAATCATTCTTGATTCAAAATCGTATACATTTTAAAGAATCATGATAGTTATGGGTTATGTTTATGTTAAATATTATTTTAATTAATGAAATGACCTGAATGGCCTGAAAAAGCAAAGAAAAAAAATAATTAATACAGAAATGCAATTTTAGTTAAAAATATAATAATAAAATGAATATGCGTTCGATATATCGTCAGCATCAGCATTATTATTCAAAACCTATTATTATATAACCACAACAGTCTGATGTCTTTGCCTTGCAAAATTGAATTACATTGGTTGAGTCAGAGGTCGGCAAAGATCCAAGATCATTAATTTTTGAATTTGATAAAATATTTTGAAAATATAACATTATACATCAGGTGTTTGATACGGAACTCGTATTGTATATATTAATAATCTTCAGCATGAGATTAATGCATAAAATTATTAGTTTGAGTAATTTATGACGTCATACGTATACTTGCCCTTCAAAGTCATTACGTAGAAATACGTTTATACAAACAGGTCCATTATTTTGTATGCATTGAAAATAAAATGACCACTTGTTAATAGTAATTTTTTCGAATTTTTTGAATTCATATATTACCATCAAAATGTTTGATTTATTTAAAGTGATGAAATATCTATTTATATTCAGAGTTATAGTTTTGTTTTTTTGGTTATTTTTTTTGAATTTGAATTTGACGGTATTTATGTGTCATACATATATGTACTTTAAGGTCACACAAACTTATCATACATCGGTCTAAAAATAACGTATACATACTTTCAATTATTCAAGAACTCGTTTAAATATCAACACTCGATCATATTGTATACCGAACGATTCTTAATAGAAATAATTCGTCACCAACCAGTTTCACAAGAATAATTAGAATAAAACGGTATATCTACGCCATAAATTAGTTTAAATACCAAATTTTTGGCACGAGGTAAAATTAATTTATAGATGACATAATTCTCATTCGAATTCCAGTAAATCTATACAATCGCCGACCTCCGTGTTCACTGGATAGTGGACTCGATAGGTATTTTATTCCTGGAACGCGTGAGTGGTTTCCCGGAGATAATAACAAGCGAAAATCATTAGCGCGTGGCAATACCGTCCGATTTACATTAGATAGAACGCATTATATTATTGTACACGAGTACATGTACGTACATGATATACGGGCATAAATCCATCCACTACCATCCAAACGTGTTCTAGAGGTTATACCTTAGGCCACGATCGTTTTAATACACCCATCGCCTTGGGAATTGCTGTTATTCTTCTGCTAACATCGGTCAAGTCGAGTTCAGCTATTCGTTCGAGGTTTAAGTGCACGTAAGCAGCTAATATTATTACCCAAAGCGATATTACCGCAAGACGATGGCCACTAATGTACTCTTCGCTACAACACTTGTCTGCCTGATGGCGCTGTCAATCTTTGGTTTCGTGGAGGCCTGTGAGTACAAAATAAGTCAATAAAGTTAATTTTTACAATCCGCCTTGGTGTATTTTATTTTTTTATTTTTTAACAAATATAATTCGGTGACCGTGTCGATAATTTCGCAAAATCACGAATTGGCCTTTAATATACCTACCTGCACGGCGGACGATTATGATGTACCTACTGTATAGTACCATCGTAGAGACTGAAACGTATCATTATCATTTGTTTTCGAATTCCCTATAGCTCGTGCGAGCATGAACTCGGCATAATAATTATATTGATAAAGATGATTCGTTTTTATAGTAATTTCCGTCGAGTATAGTTTATTTTTAGGACGGTGAATATTTTCCGATCTTTTCGCACACGATATTTATTATCGTCCTTTGTCGCGATTGTAAAATTTTTTGTTTTCCGATTACAGTGCCGTGGGAATCGCTAAGCTTACGATACAAACGAAACAATGAAACGAACCGTTTAAAATATAATTGTTTAATATAAATTTATATCTTTTTATTTGAATTTTTTCGTAACCGTGAATCGTTCTCCGGACGTATGTTGAACATATTTGTTCCCAGTACCGAATCGCAACACGTGGACGATCACGTACAACAGGTTAGCTGTAAACGCTATTAACGCTATTAATATCGTTAAAAAACAAAAAAAAAAAATCTACGCCCAGTTTTCGCGATCACGGATCGCGGGACCGTTGCCCACGCGGACCCAACGCCGTTCGCACCATTACGGATCGCCGTCTCTCTGATTTCAGACCCCCAACAGTTTTTCCAACAGCAGTCGCAGCAACCGCCCAGGTACGAGCCGATCACGGAGGTCTGTTTGGGATGCATTTGCGAATCCATATCGTCGTGCAACAGCACGTTGGCGTGCGAAGGAGACGTGTGCGGAATGTTCCGCATCACGTGGGCGTATTGGGCCGACTCCGGAAAACCGGTTCTACAAGGAGACAATCCGAACGACGGACAGGGTAACAACGTGTACTATTCGACCGTTGCGCGTCGCGTCGCTGCCCGTCACGACAACCGGACAACGCTCGACCGCGCGCGTTTCGTACGCGTTCGGAGGCGTTCGTTTTCGGGCGTTCGCGGGAAAAACGATTGGTTTTTCAGCCGCCAACGTGAGCGATTCTGGTTTTATAATTTTTTGCGCGCGAACAAGACCGTTCGAAAACGTTTTGGCCGTGTGCAACAACAGCTCGGAATAACGATACGAAAGATCCCGGGAATAAATCACGATACGGATCTATTAGCCGTTCTCGATCCTGCGAGAACCACCGTTATCCTTGCATATCCCTGCTCGTTTGAAAATAACGTTGTATACTAGTTGCGGTCAAAATCTAAAATTACGTACTAGTTGTGGTCACTCAAAATATATATTTTGTATATATGGTATATACCATGCTATTTTATTTACAAAAAAGTTTCAACATTTTCCTTTCCATTTTACAAACAGACTAAGGACTGTCTACACTATTTTTATTGTGTAGGTTTAAAATCACAGTAGTAATTGTGAAAAGTCACGCGGCAACTTCGGGTGAACATTCATTCTTGCAGTGTGTATACTTTTTCTAATCAATGTAACGCCATTTGACCTCAGTACACTGATTACTGAACTTGACATCTCAGAATAAAAATTTTGGAGTGACGCTCGCTCAACTGCTCCACTGCTTTACGTTTAACACTGTAACTAACCTTTTGCCATATCATTGATTGGTGATCATCTAGTTCGTGATTACACTAATATTGCAGGGGCGTATACAAGGGGAGATTTGGGGTTGGATCCCCCCCCCCCATAGGTCTTTTAAAAATTGTATAAAATAGTATTCTTAATGTAAGAAAATTATAAAGGAACAAAAAAATATTTCAAAGATTTATTGTAAATTGTTATTTTGACACATTCAATACATATATATATATATATATTTATTTTATAATTTATTATTTTGAATGTGCAAGTCCTTTGGTTTAGGAATTTTTCATCCGTAGTAATTTTTTTGCAATTGATCCCCCCCCCATAAAAAAGTTATATGTATTGCACCATTTTATTTATTTTATTTACAAAATTTACAGATAAGTAATAAGTATATGACCGCAACTCGGATGCAGCCGAAAATACAGGCCGTTTTTTTGCGTCCGCGACTTTGGTCTAAAAACGTATCTCAGACCCTTCACAACGATAACAATAAAACAATCGTGAGTCCCGAATAAGCAATTCAGTATGTTTCTGATTAATTTTGAACAGCATGTGTCGGTGGTTTACCGTCTCCGTGAATTAGTAATCTTACGTGCGTGTATGATTATAAGTTTATATAATATATGATATTATTCATGGCGTTTTCTTAGATTTCACGAGAATAGCGACTAATAACATTTATTTTATAGTCGAGTGCCGCATTATAGTTACCTAGTGTTTTTTTTTTTTTTTTTATTATGAATTAGAATTTATCGCGCTTTCAAACTTCAGCTTTTGTTCGGAGATAACTCTAGATTATTTTTAAAAAAAAAATTTTGTCTGTGAACATTATAAAAACTCTCGTTCAAAACAAACATGGTACACGAAAACGGAAAGATTGAATAGGTGTTCTACGGATAATACTGGAGACTATGACGTTACAAATGGTGAGATGGAAACGTTTAAAAATGTGTAAATGTATTATGCGTAACATGGAAACATAAATCTGTTCGGAGTTGACATAACGTGTAATGTATTATACGTAGTGTCACATGAAACTGCCTCTAAATGCAGTCGTTATACCCGAAATATTATGACTCAGCGTTATAATACGTTTTGTCACGACGTCTGGAAGTATATTAAACTCCTCTATTGTCTATGCCTTGAAAACATTCGTTAAACGAACAACAAGTCAATTGTGTCAAATGGAGCGTACAATGCGTCCAATTCGGTTGATTGATATAATCTGACTATACGTTTCGAATGATTAAAGTTTTAATAATCCGATTTTTCAATCAAATTTGCGTATAAGATACCCTCCCGTCATGACGCCTAGAACATAACACGCATAGAACTCGCGTTTTTAGTGGTTCCTCTAAAAACTAATTTCTCCTCATAATTTTCAAATAGAACGATTTATTATAAGACTTGTTGTTCTATCTCGATTTTAATATTGAGTTTGACCGATGTTTTCAAATGTGCCGGGGGAGGGTAGTTGTAGACTGAAAGGATTAGAGGCAAATGTAATTAACTTAATCGTGGAAGGTAACTGTAGTTGTATTTTTTTTAACGTTATTGTTATCGAAATAAAACATTTACACATTTTTCGTAATTTTCATGATATCAAAATCTATATTAATAAAAAGTAATTTTAATCTAATATAGTAGATTCCGCAAGTATTTTAACAAACAACTCGTGTTCGATTTGATACCCATTAGATGAAGTTTGAGTTTTGTTCGCATATTCGATAGTTCATACCATCTCAACCGTATACCGTATAAACGATTGCCTTCATACGACGTGGTACACGGGCACGGCATTTTCGATGTACTAGGATTCTAAAATCCATTCGCCATAATAGAGAACTCGTGTAAAAATCATCGCGTATTAACCCACGCCATACCCTTATCGGTCAAATTTGTATTCGCTCGGGGAAAAAGCGTGGCGAACCTACCTACTTACAGATTAGCTGTTTTTAAGTGAACTCTCAGAAACCACGATCTATCAGACTGCGATTTTCAAAACCGTCCCGAACGGGCTTTGCCTTATGATTGTTTATCACAGTACAATATAATGTATACATACACTACAATGTATGATTCTCGTGTTTTTTCAGCGTACGCAAGATGTGCAAATGATCCGACGTGTGCCAGACTTTCAGCCGTTACCTATTTGACCAGATTCGCACAGGTAAGCGCCGTTACACAACCGCATTCGTGTGCATATGATATTATTATCAGGGCTCGGGTTCCATATGCGATTGCTAATTATCATAAAATATTGGTAAAAATACCATTTTAAATCCGTGTTTCTCAACCGATGTGTCGTCACACACTGATGTGTCACGTATTACCGTAATGCGTGTCGCCAAAATATTATTAATTGAAAATGTAAGCTTTCAAAGAAAAAAAAGATTTGTAAACTGTCAATCATTCGGCCACGAATCGAAAACCGTTCAGTTCAATAATCACAAGTGTCGCACTGAATAAATTAAAATTTTTTTATTTTTTAATAAAATGTCAACATACAAATATATTAATTGACAAACATTTACGTCACCATTTTTAAATCAAACTAAAATTATGGTGTCTTCGTACAAAAAAAAAGTTAAATTCTTTTTCCGCTACTCTTCGTGTTTTATGGGCGTATCGCGGCGTGCATTTCGGTACTTTTTAACGTTACAAGAACCGAGTCTCCTGATGATTATCGTTGTACACGTGGCAGGCGGGTGGACTCCTCGCGTTCACGTCACGTCTGTTACGTTGTTTCGCGACGAAATAAATTTTTTTTTCGCCGTCGTTGCATCTTAATCTTTATTTTCTAACACAGGACTGCAACCGCGACGGGGTCATCGATTGCTTGGACTACGCGGCCATCCACAAGCTCGGCGGTTACGGGTGCAGCGCTCCGCTGGACCAGTATTACAAGAACAAATACGACGCGTGTCAAAGGGCCGTGGTCGAACTGTCGGGGGCGCCTGGAGCCGAGAGCGGTGTGGATGTCCGTTTCAACCCGGCCCCGGAGCAGCAGACGCAACGGCCCGAGGCCGAGCAACAGCAACAACTATCATTCAACAATTAAACTCGACGACGGCCACCAGTACGAGTTCGGCAGCGCTTTAAACCCCGGAATACAATACACTCAGATGGATCGATTCATTAGTATTATCATTTTTTTTTTTTTTTTGTACCTAACTAATTACGTGTGACAGTGTGATTTTGTATTTTAATTACGCGCACACTGCAATATAATAATATATTATTGATATCATGATCGATAGGCAATGCGAGTTGTATTGTATACGCGACCCATATCTTTTATCCTACTGCGAAATCGATGCATATGTATCTGTAATGTATGTGATATTATTTATACTGACCTCCTCCGCAGCGGATCGGGGGAGGAGTGGAGGGGAGGGACAAAAAAAAAGCGTCGTGCACGCCTATTCCACACGTAGATTGTTATGTTTTCGAACAATGGAGGCAACCGCTAAAGGCTTCGGTAAATCCTTGGCCGCAGTACGTCGTTTTCAACGAGTAACCACCAGGAGTGCGCTCGCGAACATGTTATTACAACAAACACTCCTTTTGTTTTGTCGCCTCCTATGTATTGTAATACGGTCCTCGCTGTTGCGCCGAGATTATGGTAAACCAAATACACTATCTGTGCGCAAACACCGAGCACACGTAACGTGACCGTGGCGTTTATTTATGCACACAGGTATGCATGACACGTTACACTAGCGCTAAGTACCGCGAATGCATTTGTTCTTTTGGACGTTTTCCGTGGACACGGCAGCCGATCGCGTTATGACCGTTCCATCCATCGACCAATAACTGTATCGTCTGAACACATCGGAAACGGATCTCAATGATAATAACCAAATATTGGCTGTTTTCGATCGAGACGAGAATATCACATTCAGTACACACGACCGGAATGACATTTTTCTCCTTTTTTTTTGCTCTTATTCCATTACCGTCCGTTGTTTCTTATCGCGACAATCGAAATCGTTCGATGCAGTCACGACGGATTGATCGTACCGCTGAAATTACCATTAACCTTGCCCAAAAACTCGTACAAATCGCATAGAGGACGTATGTAATATTTTAACGTTTACGGTCATACGATGCGTTCAAATTATACTTCGCGTTACGTGGTAATCGTCGTGATACAAACGGTCATAGTAATGACCAACGCATAAATAATTTATAGAACATTCAAATTCGCGTACGCAGAAATCGAGTAGTGGGTACGGTTTACTATTCGTATTTTCGTGCATTCGGTTGTTTACAAGACACAAGATGATAATTGTGTGGATTCGTAAGATATTTAAAAAAAATAAAAAAAAAAAACACATAAAAAATAAACGATAGATATACGGCCCTAGAAATTATTCGAGGTAAGTATCGGTTTAGTGGGGACATGTTGTCCACTTGGGCCAGACCGCTTTCGTATCAACTTGCGGGCAACAGGCATCACTGCAGGTATCTACCCCGTATGATCTATACGACACACGCATTGTACAGAAATCCGTCGAACCAACCGGATGTCATGGGCGCGCTACTTCGATTCCTGTTGGCGACGGTGTTCGTCGCATCGGCGGTACTCTCTCAAAACGATTTGCAAGGTAAAAGTGTTTAATTTTTGGTAAACAAACTACTAATGTCATCAATTCATCATTGCTAACCGAATAATCGTTAAGCATGGACTTCAAAATAAACTATAACAATCCCGTTACGTTCTGAACCGTTTCTTCTCACCAGAAACATAAATGTATACACTAGTACAAATAGTTTTTCACTAAATTTAAATAATATTCAATTAATTATATTGCTACTTATTACATACTTACTATAATTCAGTCGAAACATATGTAATAACAGGTATACATATTTGTTTTTTTTTTTTTTAAATCGGTCCAGCACTTAAATTTAAACTAATAACAGCTATTTAAAACATTTTATAATGTACCTGCCATAAAGCCAACATGTTTATAAAATATCAATTATAAGTATTCACTTCACTCTTCAAGGATATGTCTTACTATTAGACTATATAATTTGGCATAAGATTCTGACGCATAACACACAAACATTATAAATTTATACAATGAATATTTTCATTTAAACCATATTTTACAACTAATATAATATTGAATAATTGACAATTGAATAAAATTGGTAATGTTTTGTGTACAACAGTTTCCTGTTCAACCTACACAACTGTTTTATAAAATTCAATGTACACAACCATGTATATTTTTATCGAACAATTCCTAGTTTAAACATAAATATATTTTGTTTCATATATTTCGATACACGTTGAATTTAATAATATCCCATCAATATTCTTTAACTTGATTTTATTATTCGTATTCTTCGTATACAATTTTATAGTAATTAATTGTCACTGTTTTACGATAAAATAATTTTATTCTGAAGTTCCTACTGCAATTACTAAATTACAGCAAAGTAATTAATTACTACAAAAGTAATATTATTTAAACGCATAGTTGTAAAACTGTAAATTATCTTAAATTTAAAAATTTTTGAATTATACAACTTCAAAAAAATGTCAGTAATTTTTTTTGCTCACACCAGTACATATACTTAAAATATAATAATTAATAATACTTACTACAATAATTTATAATTAAAATAACATTACAAACTTAGAAGAATAACTATAGTAATGGTTTACATTTAAATTTAATTGTTTTAGTAGCGTCATGAAATAGTGTTTATAATACATTTTGAACTTTAAAACTTTTTAAACTTTTATTTTTTCACCGTCACTTAAAAAATAATATTTATGGTTACATTATACTAAACACCTAAATATTCGAAATACCTAATATAATGTACATTATCATTTTAAATATTTTCATATCTATAGGATATTTTTTTTTATTACGTTTTTAGTACTCTCAAAACCCATTATAACAATTCAAATTTTATCTTCTTAGTTTTACTACGTTTTCGAATGATTTTATAACCATATTTGTTTTTTGTCAATTTGTTGTGGTCATTGATATTATTTCGTTAAAATATGCGTGTGGGAGCTGTGATAGTCACGCCATTATACCTACGTAACATTTAATACTGACACCCGCAGTACTCAATAAACTAGTGAGAAGCATTAAGTTCGACAATTTAGAAAATAATATCTTAATAATATAAATCGCCATTTATATAATAAAGGTAAATTAATGGATAAACAAATAAATATATACGAGTAATATACTCGTCGACGTCCTTTGATACTAATTATTTAATCATTAAGGCATTGTATACGGATAAAATCAAATCAATAATGTATCAAATTATTGTAACGGAAATAATATCATTGAGATAACAATAAAAACTCGTATATAACTTCACAAACGTTTGGTATCCATTTTGGTGATTTTTATGTATTCTTTGTGCCAACTGTTAGAGCCATAACAAATTTGACAACTTATTGTCAATTTCATTCGTTGTCATTATTATTTTTATTATTATTATTATTATTATTATTATTATTATTATTATTATATCCTGTTCTTACAGTTTAGTTTAAGCACGTCCAGTTAAGAGAATTATCAAAATGCGTAGGTAGGCCACCTAGTACCATTTTAGTCCAGTTTTAATAATTCAATGGCCTCGATTTCTCAGGTAATATAATTCAATATTTCATCACCAGCCGCATAATTTGTTTCAAATATGATAGAAATAATGTATGGAAATAAAAATCATTCAACACAAAAGTCCGCAGATATATTATAAATATTTATTGAAAATGCTAAAAATACAAGTTCAATAAGTTTGGTATTCATTTAGATGGGAAATTTAAATGGGCGTTTATAAACTTAATTTAGATGAAAGCAATATTGGAAAATATAATAATATCTTTAAATTAAGTTAAACACATAATTATATTTTATAGTTGGATATAAAGGTAAAAAATAAATTATTATTGTATCTACTTAAATATTATAACTTGATGCGACATTATGTTATTTTTTTCAGAAAGTAATAAAAAATACTAATAATAATAACAATAATTAACAAAACTAAATAGCTATTTCTCTACGTTATTTCGAATCTAAAGTATACTCTATACGTTATGTTTAAATTTAAATTACAAAAGTATATAGGTATATTCATTTCATTCATTTCAATAGAAAAAAATAACAAAAACAATGCAATGACTGTGTTAACTTTAAAAAATACTGCATCAAACATTCAACAGCATAAATTGTTTTCATTCAGATATATAAAACAATGCTTAATGTGTAATATATTTAATAATCATTAATTATATTATATTTTACTAATCATTAATACTTTGAAAATAAAATTCATGGTCAAAAAATGAATTATCTAACTAAATTTTTGAATTATGAGTACACCATAATAATAAACTTATCGATAGTACATATAGTATTTATGTAGTGCATAGTCCAATTCATACTCGTACTTTTATATTTTACTGAATAATATAAAAGATGTATACAATATTTCAAAATATGTACACATATGAAATAAACAAATTTTTAAGTTAATAAAACAAAAAAAAAACTAGAATTATTATTATTAAATTATAAAATTTATAATCATAAAAATTGGAATAATTTATTATTCTAGATCAAAAAAACATTTAAATGTATACTTAAAATAAAAATATAAATAGAAAATAATGTAATTTAAATACATAATGAAAACTATTAGTTATTATTATTAGTTTTAATCATAATTTTATGGGAATAAGTATTCTAATGTATTGAAATATAGAACAGATGTAATGAGTATTTATTTCGAATGGAATTTTATAACTTTAGACTATGAAATGTAATGCATTTATTTAATCACAACGACCTACATATTTTCATTAACAAAAAGGTGACTTGATAATATGTTTTCTTTATTTAAAAATGGCACGAGTTAACATTTACTTGTGTTTTATTTTAACATACCTATTAAGTATGTTAATTTCTTAAATTACATTATTAGATTTTATGTTAGTGGTATTTATCATGCAAATAATAGTTGATTAATTTAGTATATAAATGTATTGTAACAAGTTTTTCATAATGCTTTTAATACCTAATTTAATAATGAAAATATTAAAATATTGTAAAAATTAACACTACATTTAAATATATAAATATTGGATTAATAAAATATTATCAATTATAATGATTTTTCTGACACTTTTAAACAGCGTATATCATTAACTGATACACATATCGCTGAAATTATTGTTTATGAACTTAGTGCTTAGATATAAACCAAGTCACGGGCTATGAAATGTAAGATTCTTTAAATATTTTTGGAAAATTTAAAAAATGACCTCTTCAGTGTATTGTTTGGATTCAATTTCAGATTTATTAAAAATCTTTGGTACTTAATAATGTAGGAAATATGTTAAACAAAAGAATAAAAATTATAATAAAACAAATTATTCAACCTTTATAATTTACTCTTAGAACAGCCAAAACGTACACTTAAATAATTTAATAAGAACTGTAGAATACATTATTTATCAACAATATATTACGATAGTTACGTTTTATTTCAGTTATAATAAGTAGATAATAGTATTATTTTATTAGTATTATATTATTTAATAATGACTACATGTTTATTATAATTTAATAAGTATTTTGAAATTTACTAGGTGATATTCCTTAAATACAAATAAAATATTTAATTTGTTATAGAATTTCTTATTAATATATTAACTTTGATGCACTTGAGAATTTCAATGTGAACAGCATCTGATTTTAAATTTATACCGTTAAGTTAACGACATATACAAATCTCTGTATTCTTATTTATATTTTATTGATTGGTTTTATCTTACTCGATAAGTAGCAATTTCATTTATCTGAATAAGAAAACTTCTAAACAATATTCAATAATATATAAGTTTCGAAAAAATAAAATGCAATTTGAACTTATAAAAATAAAAATAAACTTTGCTAATTAAAAAATATAATTTTCAAACCCAACTTTACGATTTTGTTTGTGAATACTCTTATTATAAATCATAAAACCCCATAAAATGGTAACAATGCGCAAACGACGTAACTGCAAATATTTAATATTGTTGAAATTTATTTTAAAATGTTTTGTCTTCAGAAGAATTTCCTCCTGGATGGACAGAAAAATGCATAGGATGCATGTGCGAAGCGTCATCCGGATGCAATCAAACACTAGAATGCATAGAACAGAACGAAGTTAAATACTGTGGTGTGTTTTTATTGAGTGATATTTATTGGCAAGATGCCGGAACTCCTGTTCTTCAAGGAGACAACCCCATGCGGATTGGAGGTAATGATTTTCGTTAAAACGATACATCACAATAAGAAACTACTACCCATCATACTGTCGAAATTATACCTAAACTATTATGTTTTAGCTTTCGAAAGATGCGTCAGGGATCCATATTGTGCTGCAAGGGCCGTAAATCAATACATACAAAGATACGCCAAGGTATAATATATTGTATTAAATAAATAACGGGTTCGAAAAAACAAATTCTATAATTTTCTAAAATCCTATGTATGTCTGTATTTTTCCAAAGATCAACTAAAATCATACGAGTTAACTGTTTAACTGTAATACGATTATATTATGTGTACATAAAAGTCAGTACTTTTATTTATATATATAATTTATAGATGAAGTAAAAATAAAATTAATGTTTTATATTTTTTATGTAATGTAAATTAATTCCTAAAAATCAAGTCATAATCATTAATGTCTTTATATTTTTCCACAAAAATCGTTTGTATATGTTGAAACTTAAATTGATAATATATGATAGTATAATGAAGACACAACTAAAATTGAATGTTTATATAGGATTGCAACAGAGATGGTGTGCTATCGTGTGATGATTATGTTCGATTACATTATTTTGGAGAAGCCAGTTGTGAAAGACCAATATCTTCACTTCCATATTATAGAATATTTAGAAGTTGTATTATGTCTTAATATACTTATTATATATATTATATATATATCTCCCTAAATTTATTATTGATCATTTTTCATAAACTCAATTATTTACTTAACTTATTTTGTATAATTATTGACTATAGAAACAATTTGTAAGGTTATTTATTTGAAATTGTTTTATGTACGGTTTTCGGATCGAATAAATATTTATGAATAATAAATAGTAAAATATTATGATATGATATTACTTGTACTAAATTATATAAGTAAGATATTTTTTAAATTTTTTTTTTATCAACACAAATTATCATAATTTCAAAGAAAATTTCCTATTTAGTTAAATTTTTAAATTCCGTTCAACCGCAGTTTTACAAATAATGGAAAATAGAACAATAATATAATTAAAATTACTCTACGGACATTCTAATTTTTAATTTTTAATGATGTGATATGGAGCAATATAAAATAACAGAAATAAGAATCTCCAACGAAAAAAATGCATAGACATATTTAAAAATAACTATAACGCATACCATAAGTATATCGAGATATGTAAGTTTAGTCGAATCCGAAATTCGAGGTCCATCAAGATTTACAAATAAATAAACAAACCATAATCAACTTCAGTAAAGTTTTATGATTTGTAGTAGATTTTAAGATTTCTCGTAAAGTTCCAAAAGCCGAAATATCAAGTCTGACGGATTACTAAGTTCAGCACAGGCCAAATTGGAAGACACAACAATGAGACGTATTACTCTCCTACAGTACTAGTCGTATCGTGGTACAGCAAAAATGCTTTATCACATCGTTCACAGATTGAAATATCCAAGCCAAAATTATACGTGGACACGTAATTCATACTATAATTCAATAAAGTAACAATGGTACGTAGTTGACACAACTATGTACATAAAATGTTGTGATGAAATAATCGTAAAAAAAATGATTATTTCATCAGAAAATACTTGAAACATTTGCTGTGCTCAGACGAACACCATTCTGTCCAACGTGGCCAATGAGTTAAATATTATATTATAAATACGATTAAGTTATACCTTTTGATTATAGTCAGAAATGAGCAAAATAATGATTTGGATTTGCATTCCAAGTTTGACTGACATAATAGTTGGCTAAACCAGTATACGCTCTGAAAGACAGCGAAAAGACATACGAGAATAGTAAGTGATAATATTGTCAAACGTCATGTAACCGGCTGGTATTGTACTCCGTATCGTTGCCAAATGGTTGTAGATTAATAGTTTAGTTCTGAAACACAATTCTACCCAAATAATGGTACTGAAACTCTTAAGCCGTGGTTATTCAAAGAAGCTGAGCTGAACATGAATAGTAGCGAAACACGCAGAAAGATTCGTCGGTGAAAATAATCGCCTGCGACTTATTTGATCGCATATGTTTCATATATAACGGTACCGGAAATATAATAAATCAATATAATATAATAAAATAATAATATTATAATATAGTATGAGATTGACTCTACAAGTAAGACCGGAATATTACTTTGGTCTCATGAGAATAGTATTTTTCATAGTTTTTTCATGTTTCACCTATTTACTTTTGAGATATTTTTCACAAGGCGTTTTTTTCAAACGTTATGTAATTTAAAAAACGCGTTAGAAGAATTCCAGAGTGAAGAATGAACTGTAACCAACAATCTTTGTGTATAAAAAAAAACTTTTTCGTAAAAATTATGTATAATGCTTTTTTATTACTGTTTTTCTTATTCATTATACCACAGAATCCATATAAAAATAAACTTTATAAACTTTAAATGTAGAACACAATGGTGGTGACAACAATAAAAAAAGTAATGATTAGTAACTCTAGATTTTATGAATTAAAAAAATAATTAGTCTAAATAAATGTAAAAAGTTCCATTACAATTAAATAGTTTTCAAACACGTTTTAGACACACTATATCTTAACTTATTCCGTCTAATGTAAAATATAATATTTATACATTATGATTAATGTATTTTATATCACACGTACTGTGTTTATTTAATAACAACTAGCATACATCAAATAATTTCAAATTCTCTTCGAATCCTATAATATATGAAATGAGTGCAAGACCCTACAATATTTTTTCATGAAGACATGATTTATGTTGATGGTGTTTAAACGGTGTTTATTATATTCTTATAAAACTAAATCGAATACATTATCATTATAATATTTATAGATAATTTATTCATATTGTATCAACCTTGAATTTAATTTGATTATATGATTTATAGTATTAAATATTAATAATATTATAACATTTTCAATTTGTTCATATATAGTTTTTACTTGTATTTTATTTAGAATATATCTAATATATATATCATTTATTTTTTCTTGAAAAATAAATATATATTTTAACAAAATCATTCTTTGTTTTAACTTCGAATATTTATTAATCAATCAAATAACTAGATTATAATATTGCTAATTAGAGTTAGAAGATATAAACCTACACAAAAACCTTTAGTCTGACTAATTGTAGATTGAAATTTTTAGTCCAAAATTAAATGACCAGTTATTATAAACCATTTTTTGCTTTATTTATAATCAGCGAAGAAATAAGTATTAGCGATTCAAAAACCTGATAATATATCTGTGTTTTACATTATTTAAAGTATTTTATTAGTCCTAAGAATTTTTTTTTTATAAAGTCCGAAAAAGAACTTTAATTTTATAATATTACATGTAATACATTTTTAAATTTAACAAACTATTTTTAAGGATTGTATTTGATGTAAAAAATATTTCGCCTCTCCTTTGGAATTTGTCAAGGAAAACCTAACCACCACTGGTTTTGGGGCTTATAAGAAAAACTGTTTAAGTGTATGTAATCAAAAATTCGGAAAGTATATTTTAATAAATTATCAGCCACTATTTCACTGTAATATATGACATTATGATTGAAAACGCAGGATGTTCAAAAAAATGATTAGAACCCAAGAATAAAAACCTGCGACGAATCTCGCACGCTATTGTCCATCTACGACCCTATATAATTTGCAGCATTGTGGTAAAGATTTAAAAGCTTCGAGACAACATGATTTGTTGTTCCTTTTGTTTTGGTGTAGAGGTTGTATCCTATATAGTATCAAGCAATACTCAATACAACCTACGTCATTAAAATCGATTAACGTCAAAGTAATATTTAGTCGAACAATAATAATCTATGACAATAGTTGAGTCACAACAGTATAAAGTTTTAAAATTTATTTTTGTGAAAAAAAAAAAATCTAAAATTTAACAACCCTGTCCGTATGCGCACGTTGAAAATACAAAATACGATCAAAATGGTGCAACTCTCAACAGCCACAAAAAACATATATTACGGTTATCTGTTATTGGTTATTTGTTATATGTATTTAATATTATGTATCTTATTGGTTATTTCCTAATTTTATACTTAAAATAATAGTACAATTTAAATACTAAACAACTAAATATGTACCTATGTATAATATAGATAATATTATTATTAAATGTTCAATGCTGTAGTACTCTTCCAATAAATTGGAAAAAATAATTATATTCAATTATTTTTTAATCTGTTGTTTTCATATTCTTTACTCTATGGTATTTATTATTGTAATAGTAGTATTTCATATTTTAGAAATTCAAGATTTTTTATCATAATCTCAGATACGCCTCTGCGTTTTCTAAAGAAAATCGAATAAAAGATTTTGAATGTAACATTCGTGATTAAAGGTAAACTACGATTTGATCATTATTTTTAATTGTATTTAATATAAATCGCAATAGTTTTGTCGTAGATAATGGAATAGGCTAAAGACGGATAAAAATCTTGTAGAAACAACATGCACCTTGTGTTATGTGCCATACATCAAAGTGAAACATTTTAACACCGATAATTCACCCCAAAATAAAAGCACAGAATCATAAGAATGTACGTGGTTACTTTAATAGTACGACGAATTTGAATTTAACTTCAAACAATGTACTTTTAAATAAGTAATCAAGAAACGACTTATATTGTCTACCAGTTCAACGTTACCATGACAATGCTTAATAAAAATGTATATTATACTTGATACAGTGCAAGTACATAATTATCTTTAATTTTAAAAATTATACCAAACATTACTTGCACGTGCTAGGATTAAACAGCACAAAAATAGGTTTATATTTTAGTGGTACGTGATCATTTGACAGAATTTCAAAGATCGTTAGGCTATGGTTAATTTAGATTGAACCATTAATAAACGATATTGCCCACAAATAAAAGTAGATGTAACTAACATTAATGTAGGATAAATATGATTCAATTAAAATACTTACGAAAATCGAAACATTATAATTTTAATATTCAATTATTTTCAATATGTCAAGTCGTATTTTGAATATATATAACCAGCACACAATATATAGTTACTGTAAGTTTACTATTTCACGTTATAAAAAAATAGACTTGTGATGAATAGTTTTTACTATTTGCCTTCATTCAACCTGTAGCTCTACGAAGTAATCAAGTATATGGAAGACCTTTACAAAAAAACCACTATAAAATGTATTCACCATATATAACATCCCATGCTGTTATTTTTTTAATATAACTGAAAAGAATAAATTGACAACTACAAAAGTATACTGAATTTATAAGTATAATATTGAATGCACAGAAAGCAATGTAAAACTACTGTGTAATATAACTTTTTTTGTACACAGATAAAAAAAAAAAAATGTTAACAAACCCAATTGGTGTCAAGTTGACGGTTTTAAACTTTAAAAAACAAATTATATTGTACATATAAATATTGTACGTATATCTAATATACGTATATCCACCTAATTTTGTATCTTTTACTTCTAATAGCAGAATATAATATTTGGTAAATAAAATATTTTACAAATATGAATATGATCAGTGTATAGCCAAAACTACAATACCGATTCATTTTAAATGTTGGAGGAAAGTAATTATTACTGTTTATAAATACGAGTACAATAAGATAGGATTTTTTGAAAATCACATTTTTAAAAGTCAAAAACAGCTTATACAGTGGTCGTCGCTTATTGAACTCGTGGTTAATTGACTCATTCGTCTATTAGACTCAAAAACGGCTGGTCCCGATTCGCATGTATATTAATACACGGATAAACATCCGTATATTTAACTCACACACCGGTTAATAGTGTCATTTGAAAATTAAATAAATTAAGAAAATATGTACATAAATTGAAAAAACGAGTACAAATAAACGAGTATAAATACGATATAAGTCGGTACCAGAAAGGATCAATAGTAATAAAGAAGTTCAAAATATTGAACTCGTAACCAAGTAAGGAATATACGGTGAAATACAGTCAAAACGGCCAAAACAAAATGTGACTGGTGGTATACCATACTATAGTGAAGAAAAAGAACCTCAATCAACTAACAAATACTAGAAGGACTTCAAATTCTACGTAGAGGTATTCAGCAAAGAGACAATTTTGACGTATTCGGGCAACATAAATCCTACGAAGATATGATTAAGAAGTTAGCTGAAGAAAGGATAATTCAATCAACACATCATTTAAATAAAAAAATGAATTAGATTTTACATACATATTATTTTATTTTATTTTTAAAAGCGAAGCTAGATTTTTATTTTTATACTTATCTCGAATCTCAATAAACATTTTTAAGTAAATAAGTTTTTAATTTTAAGCATTTTTTAAATTTTTTGGTTATTTGCCTTATTAATTCATTCGGTTAATGAACTCAAATGGTCAGGTCCCAAAGTGAGTCTAATGAGCGGCAATTATTGTAGCTGTAAATTGAATATATAAATGTTTTTACTTTTTTGTTATCTAGGAAATATTTTATTTTGTTTGATATGTTGATTTGAATAATTACCGGTTAGGGTATATGTAAATTAATTTAATATTAATTACATAAATATCATTAGAATACAGATATGATGATTGAGTGCTTTTTCAAACTTTTTTTTTACATAAAAATAGTATTTAATCTTATCTAATATATTGAAGTATTTCTCGAGTTAATTCAACTGTATATTTTATATTTTTGTCAAAAGTACCATGGATTATGTTTATTTAAAATAAATATTTTTCAAATATTTTATATAATATTAAATAATGTCTGTCTATTTGCATTTGGTACAATAAAAAAAAATAAATAAATAAATAAAAATATTCAAAACCATCAAATTCAAATTAAAAATATTCACTATAAATATATTTTAAACAAATAATACAAATATGCATTTTTACATTATTACTATACATGAGTAATCTTTATCTAACATATATTGATTATTAAATAATATATAAATTAAAATAATTACATACATTTTATATAAAAGAGTCCGACTAGTCGTCAACAATAAATGTATCGATTTATTACATTAATATTATATTTAATTAAAATGAATGTTAATAATACCCATGTTCTTATCATCTATTCTTCTTGAGATGTGTTTTCATCTCATATATCAACTTGAATTAAGAACCATTGACTCAAGTATGTATCTAAATGGATCATGACGATTCCATTTAGACACTTTTAAACCTTATATTAGTAATTTTCCTAATTATTGTTTAGTCTTATCAATAGTTTGCTTCACAGTTGTTTGGTACGTTGACTCATAACTCTTTTGTTTTCCAATCACATAGTTCTGAAGAATTCATAATCAAAAATAAACATTTGTTAATACAACTATATAGACAAGAATATGATTGTACGTGATTTGTTTTGACGTATGACTTGCGCCATGACTGGTGTATCAACTGTCCATGTAGAAAACAAATCAGTAGCGTCAAAATCGTCTAAAAACAAAATTAAGTTTTATCATTTTTTTTTTTACATTTTTTTCAAATTTAACGTTTTAAAACTTATAATTAATACTATGGAGATTGAAATGCCACATTAAATTCTTGCTAACCAATATATTTCTGTGGTAGGTAGTTGGGAAGAATACGTTAAATCTTGGGTTAAGAAATTTTTTTTTTTCTGCGCAGAAAATTAAATTGATTAGGTATTTTAAACAAGAGTAATTTCATACATTTTTTATGAATAAATAATAATGATTATTTTATTAACTGCTATATTCAACAATCAGTATACTATGAAAAAACACTTTGTTTTTCAGATTTAAAATCATCAAGGAAAATCGTGTAGTTATTTCCATTGTTCATATTAAATTTAGTTTTTAGTATCAAATTTTGATTTTTTAAAAAAATTATTAATTTAAAATTAAAAAACGTATTATTTTTTTAAGTTCAATATCGATTCGGAAACGAAAACTTTTTATTCTCGGTCATTAAGTGCTAATAAATATTCAAAACAAAATTCATGTTTATAATGCAAATTATTTCTAAGCAATATTAGATTTGTAATCCCATGTAATATTTAGTTATAACAAATTAGCATTTTTTTAAAAACTACCTTAAGGTATAATTTTTTTTCAAAACAAATACTTTCATGTACTTTATTATTCATCAAACGTTCGTAAAAGAGTATATATGATTTGTATTCCATATAGCTATACCTAGTGCATTTCTTTCGTCAGAAAAGTGAAAGGTATGCAAGCTTACACATTTTGGATATAAATTTATATCAATCATAATCTAAACAGAAGTATTTATACCAATTTGATGTATGCATTGTAAATGCTATTGACAATCTAAATGCGAGGAATGTTATGTAATATAGAAACTAATAACTTCACGCCTAAATCTAAAAATGTCCATATATATATTTTATTTTAAAAGAGTTAAAATTTATAATTAAAAATTTAGATACTTTAAAATTAGTTAGGTTTCCAAATAGATTAAATATAAATAGTTCTCTTTTCCAGACAACCTTTATCTTTATTTTCTTGTAAAATTAAGTTGATTTTTCAAACTAATATTAATCTATATAAAATGTGTGTATAATATTTATACTTCATACATTTTAGAAAATTGGAAGCGGTAATTTTATTTCTTTAACATCATACATACAACATAATTACTTAGTAATTATGTAGTGATTTATTTAATTCAATTATGTATTTTCATTTAAACGTATCAATCAACATAATGATGTAATAAGAAATCTAAAAACATATTTGAATTCGTCATAAATTCTTCTTATGTAAAATGTCGCACATATTTTAAATATTGTACTTCAGATATTAAAAGGTTAACCATTGTTGATTTTTATTTTTCTAAATTTTTAATTATATTTTGTGGAATTTATGGGAACAAAATTAAAATATTGGAAAAGTCAATTTAGAGTATATTTAAAGAATTCAAATCTGTTTTTAGATTCATAATAATATTACTAGATCAATGAATTTGTTGGAATGAAAATACTTCTAAATATCTGTTTGTGTGAAAAGTAGACATATACAGAAAACCTCCGCCTCCAACCCCTTACAGTAATTCACATATATTTAATAATATAATAATTTGAATCATACCATAATACTATTACATATTATGTTATATAAGTACATGTTTAACCTTGTAATTAATGTATTGCCTATAGGTACTTCATAACTTTGTAACTTCCTCACGACTGTGTCAACAGTAATATATACCAATACTTATTATAAAAATGCTTAAATTTCAATGATTATTTAAATTATAATGACATAATTTATCAAAAAAAAAAAAAAAAAAAATTATATCGGTATTATATGTGGTAGTTTAATGCTCATATTGTAAATTTTTTTTTTAAGTAAAAATATTTTATTTCCTTAATCTAAATATTTCCTAAAAGCAGTATATCGTGTAATCAATATCGCTATTGGAATAAAATGTAATTTGCATTTACTAATATTAATTTAAAATCATTAAGTGACAAAACATTTTAACTTCAATAGTTCATAAAGTACCACACGTGAAGACTTATTTCAAGTAAAATCAAAATACGTCTTAATTCAATTTAAAAATATTCTTATATCAGTTCCAATAAAAAAAAAAATTCAATAATTTTTAAGTTTGACATTCTATTCCTACCGACTTTAAAAAATAAACATAATTTAAATCTATCTGTATGAGAAAATTTTTTTTTAATTTTTAATCTATTTAAATCAATAAAAATACTGGGTTCCAAGACTTCCTGTTTGATAGTTCATTTATATTGAAAATCAGTGTAGGTATCTCATCAAGAACATAATTAATGATTAAATCGAGGAAATGCGGTCTATACCAGTTTATTGGATGGTTTGTGCACACATTTTACTAATTTTATTCGGTCTGTTTGGTTTGCGAGGCAATAATCTACGTTTATTATACAATATTAAAGTGCAAGTAATACTGTAACACTACAGTGATGTAAGAAGTAATAAAATATTAATTATAATACGCACATTCTTGGTATTCGTTTATTTTTAAATACCCTCAAGGCTAACTCAAACTTGAGTAAATTAATGGAATACCTCCCTCGTGCGTGGTACACCACGAACAAAAAAACAAGTTGGTATTCGATCGGTAGAGGTCGTATCATATTATTTTACGGTGGACAATGGGTGGAGAAAACGCACGGTGGCTATTTAACGACGAATCAATTCTGTTCCATTGCCGATGAAGACGTTCAACTTGGTCGCACGTACATCAAATCGTAAGCAAACATCATGAGCAACTTCAAATTATTCACTGTAAGTATTTGTAATATTTAAAAAGATTTCAGTTTTTGATTCGACAGTATAAGACGTAACAAAACGAATTTATTTATCTCGTTAGCCGCGGTATTTTAAAATAATTAATGAATTAAAATTATTACGGACTCGATTTAATTTACCGAATGAATATTTTATTAATGCAACCTCAAGGCTTTTGAACTTTAATCGTTATGAAGGTTATGTATTACACGAATTTTAGTGGTCGTTATGTGTAGTATATAAATAATATTCACATTAAATCTTTGTTGAGGTGTTTTATTTTTATTCTCAAGTAGAAACATTTGTCACAGTGAAATTTAAGATGCGCTTTATTTTTTTAACTAAAATAAAATAAAACAGTCAAATGGGTTTCAAAATTATGATTCAAAACTATTTACGGTCTTATCGTTTCCGATTTGAAAATTATTTTTAGAAAAAAGAGATTGATAACCGATACAAATTATTACTATTTGTGCACGATATTTCTCACTTATTCAATATTTTCGTAAACGACCATAGGCAATACAATATGCTTTCGTGTATTTAATTACGTGAATCCCCGGTCGTTCAAGGCACACATTGATAACGCATAACATTTGATCATAACCAACAAGGGTAAATGAAATAACAGTGGTATAATATAATGCTCAATCTTGTTATCAAGTCATAGATTTGGGAACATTAATAGACATTATACACAATCAAAATCTCGACTGCGTAACGATAACGAGCAAGCTAAAACGACCTAAGCGGTATTGACTAACTTTAATGTTGCGACCGTCAAGCCGATGACCAACCACTCGCAATAATTACGAGCAGTAAATCGACGACGGTGCGACTACCGAATTAGCTGACCGTCTGTATCAGGGATCATCAACTAATTTCTATGTGGGTACGTTTACAAACTTACCAAACTTGCTGCGGTCCAAAATAATTTCAATGATTTTTTTTTACACATTAACAAATAATAACAAATTAACGCATTTTATTTGTATTAAATTTTTTTTGATGGCAATTGCAAAAGGAGCTATTAAAGAAGATTTTTTATTATTTTTAACTATTTGCTTAGTTTTCGGAGTGAAGTTATTGCAACTTGTTTTCATTAAGTCTTTGAGATGTTCATCTGATAACCGAAATGTAAAATTATTTTTAATATAGTTAATTTTCGAAAAAATAGTTTCGCATAGATACGTTGAACCAAACGTTGTACATAGATTTGCAGCAAAGTACTTTTTAACTCGGGGTATTTACTTGAACGAACATTTATGATTGTAAAGCGTTCGGAACCGAATTTAATATTTTAAAATGTAACATAAGAACTATATATATATTATAAATGTTATTACCACGTGACCATCGGGATACGTAAAAAATGAGTGTGTCACCAGTCGGTCGACGCACATTGACAGTAATCGACCGACAAACATTAATCTAATCCAGCGGCTCCTAACCTTTTTCAAAATGTTACCTATAAATCGAGTTCGATATTAGTAAATACCTCTCCTCATGAAAAAAAAAAGGTCGTGTACCAAGCCTAGGAAACAATACACGTCGTCAGGTTTCCGGTTATCGTATGCCCGTTACACTGATTCACAGAACCATAACGATTCATATCTGTATTACGCAAGGAAACGTTATTTTTTTATATTTTTTCGTTCGCACATGTAGACATCTGCATGGTTGCGCGAAATACCGCGGATAATCGAGAGCACTTAAATATCATTCGAAGGTAATAAAATAAAAATAATTACAACTATAATAGTAGTAGGTATTAAACGCGTAGAAAATAAAATCAAAATAAACGGTATTTTACCGGACCTCAAAAAAAAAATCCGGGGGCTTATTAACCCCCCCCAGTTCGATAACCGTTGGTCCAACCAATCGTTTTTTTTTATTTCCATCACCTAGGCATCGTTGGCGGCGTTCTGCGTGTGCGGCGCTCTGGCCGCGCCGGCCGGGCAACCGGTGCCGATCCTGAAACAGGTGAACCGGCAGAACGAAGACGGTTCGTACAGCTACGGGTACGAGAATGCGGACGGTACGTACAAGATCGAGACCAAGTACCCAACGGGCGAGGTGTACGGCAAGTACGGATACGTGGACGAGACGGGCAAGCTGCGGACGGTCGAGTACGGCGCGTCTGCCAGGGGCTTCGAGCCGGTTGGCACCGACATCACCGTGCCGCCTCCGGTGCTGGGCGGTGACTCTAACGACCTACGCACGGACCCCAGGCCACAGTCCTCCTCCTCGTCTTCGTCAACGTCTCAGGACGATTACGACGATGGCCAGTACCGTGAGGATCCCAGCGTGTACTACAGATCGGAACAGCCGCAAAGGGCCCCGCTTCAGGCCCCGGTAATGAGGCAGCAGCCGCAGCAGCAGCAGCAATGGTTCTCCGCCGGTCTGCAGAAAGCCCGCCCCGACTCCAGGCAGTACCAGGCCCATCCGTCCGTGCACAACTTCGACCCCGCGTCCGGATCGTTCTCCATCTCGTACACAGGATAGAATCGAATCGCGAGGGGGAGATCGTGGTGCATTAGTGTAGCGTAGCGCGTTACGATCGTAAAACTGTACTATTTTTTTTTTCATTTTTTTTTCAATTATTATTATTAGTGTTATTTTTTATATTAAACCAATAAAACATATGTTATTTTTCTATACATCACGTACGTGCACCTTGTTCTTTGTCTCCTAATGCATACACATATTTATCACAATACCACAACCACCCGTCGGCCACAGACCATCAATAATTATGAAACGCGATCATTAAACAACAACTGCCGAGCACTTTATGTGGATCAGGAACCGATGACTTAAAGGTGTAGTCGGTTTCACTACACATATTTTTTTTTTCCTTTTCCCAAACCGTTTTGTTGTTTGCCTTGGTAAACCTAGTTTGACGAAGTAAAAACAAATTTTATACCATAAAATACATTTCCCCAGGGCGTTTCGGCATTGAAACGAAAGCGACAACACCCATCCTTGACATTCACCTCGAATTCGAATACCTACAGCCGATCGAAGACTCAATATTATTAAATAGTGTATAGTGTGTACATATGTGAGCACACACGTACACATACGCATACACATTCGTGTATACACCCTACCAAAAAAAAATCGTATATATCAATATATATATTATTTGATGTAGGAAACAAGTGGTTTTTTTTATATATATTTATCGTTAGCTCCTCAAGTTAAACTTGTTTGGGGTTGTGATGTGAAAGGTAATATATTAATCATATGCATATTACATTAACCTTGGTACCACCCTTATTCACCCATGGAGGGGCTACATTTGAGACCTTTTAAGTCTAGAGACTATGATTTTTCGTCAGTTTATTGTTAGAGAACAATCAGAATCATGTACAAGCTAGTCAGATCAGTGGTAAGTACGATTTATATGTACTAAGTTTCGTTAATATATCATACAGACTGTATGTTAAACCTATACTACATTGGTCCCTAAAATTATTAATCATCAAATATTTTGACTAAATTATTTAAAGATCTAATGAAAATAACAATATGTATTATTATTAATTCTATTTCGGACGTGACACTATATTATACGTGCACAAATAATTTGCTGTTTTGTTAAATTTGTGAAAGTATTATAGTTATTTGGAAGATATTTATTGTGCATCAAGTTTTCGGCATGCTCTGTTAGTGCATAAAATTAATCGAATAACTCAATTTTACTTACCTTCATCACTGCACAGCGTATTTAATGAAGCTTAATGAAAATACCATTTACTCTCGAGTATGAATGAAAACAAAATCTCGAGTCAAATAATATGGCAATGCGTTCAAAACTTAACCGGGAACATCCATTATATTTTTTTTATTTTTTCTATTTATTTTTAACGTATCACGAAATAAAAAAGAAAATAATATCCTAAGGCCCTTTGTGGGGTTATCTACCTCGACCATTGTTTAGAAGACAGTCGCCACGGTGTTTGACCTCGCGATCGTCTGATTCTCACGATGAAACTATTGTGAAATTAATCAACTTGGGGGCATACGCGGGAGGTCCGATTCTGGCGCCTGTACCGCAGTGTATTTTATATTATTATGCGTACGAGCCGTCATATTTTGTACACCATACAATAGAAAATACATTCACTATAATTTTTTTTAATTGCAGGTAATCGTGCTATTGGGCTTGAGTGCATGCTCCGGTCAAGATGACATCGAAAACTACGCGAATAATGGCAAATCCGCAGTAGTGTCGATTCGAAATAAGGATCAAGATATATCAATACTTAAACAAATTCATAGGTAATTACGCGTTTCCATATTATTAATACCAAAGTTTACTTTGATAATACTATGACTCCATTAGTCAAACAAAAAGATAATACATATAATAGTCAAACATAGACCAAAAAATACGTTTTCACTGTGCAAGATCAAAGTACTGGTAATTTTGAACGAAAATAATACATTTTAAGCTTACACATAGGTGTACCTCATTTTTTATCAATGCAAAAATAATAATACTAGTAATTATTCATCGCTGTAGATTTGTTACCAATCAAAATAATATCTGTATGGTAAAATATTTATTAAATACCTACTCATTCACGTTTTGTTTATTTATTATAAACATTCTATATAGTAGCTATTAAATTACAACTCGATGGTTATACTTGTAATGGATATATTTCGTTAAGGATCAGATAAATTTAATATACCATACTTGTATTATACGGAGATCAGATATGAAAAATCGGAATTTAATAATAATGAATACAATGATTTCCTGATCAGTGATTTACGAAAGAGAAATTTCTGAAAATCTGTTTCTAACAAAAGTTTAAATAATGTGATTGTTAAATAGTGAGGTCAAGGTAAAGAATAAAAGATAGATAACGACGAAGATGGTAATTATTTGATCAGTTAAACGTAAAATAGATTATTTAATCGGTTCAGTGTACCAAAGTTTTACTAATAAATCTGAAGGATTATCATGTTTTCAGTAAGATATGAGCATTGGGTTGTAAAAAAAATTCAAAGTAATAGAAATGTATTGACTAAATTGAAAGAAATATCACTTTTAGTCTAGACGCATATACGCAACATATTTTAAGGAGGAATAGGTTGTTCATTTTCATATTTATATAATTTATAAATCAATTTTACTCTATAAAAACATATTTAATATGTGTTATATATTTCGAGAGGGGGGGGGGAGATTTCAACCCTTGAACCCCCTTGTATACGTACCTAGTCCCATCAATTAACTAAGTAGCTATATATTGGTCTAAAGTTATGACCTATAGGTATGTCAAAGCAATTAGACTTACAATACTTTTTCAAAATGTATACGATTTTATACATTTATGTGTGTATCTATAAAATATAAGGTTACAATAGTGAATGTCAGGTTAGTAAAAAAATAATTATATTGATCATTGTTCACGTAAAATTAATTTAAGTATAACCATAATAATACAGTTTTAATGGTTTTAATTGCGTTTTTAATAAACTTCAATTTTTTTTTTAGAAAACTCCTATCTCTCAATTATCTGATTTTACATTGTAATGATAAAAAAATTGTTTAACTATTTTATCATAAATTGTAACTTATAACATTTCACACAAAAATTATAAATAATTATTATTATGTATAACTTGTTTTAAACAAAAATGTGTAATGCATGGTCTCTTCAATTATTTTATATCCTTACCAATTTATAACAATTTAAATTTAAATGTTGTTATATATTACGTAATTAGTGTATGAATTACTATATCAAAATTCAGTATTTTTATACTTGTAGATAATTGAATAATGTGAATAAAAATTAGATAAATAATATAAAATATATATCATAGAAATATGTTCGGAATAAGTACAGTAACTCTATTTGTTCAACTGCAAATGGTTTCATAAGAAAAAATTCAATAAATAAATGCCTAATTTTCTTGTCGTACAAGGAAAAAAAAATATAATGTTCTATTACAAAATACAAACTTATTAATTTCAATAATATATTAAATATGCTTATCATTAAGGCTATGATTTTAATACTCTGAAAAAATGCAAAAATGCTTCTAAAACCATAAAAATGCACTGTAAAATGCGTAAAAAACGTATTTATAATTGTTTAAAAATTATATAATAAAAAACATGTTGTCAAAAATATTTAATTATATTTATTTAAAATGATTTTTTTTTATTTTTTTTTGTTATTATTTATATTTATTTAACATAATAATAGGTTATTATTTGTTTTTTATTTGCTAATTATTTGTTTAATATTCATAATTTATTTAACTTTAATTAAATTAAATTTATTTCATAACTTGCTATTGTAATCGTCGTTGGATTCTAGTAAATAGAATAATTTCTTTCGACTATATTAATTTTGTTCTATTTTTGATAAAATAAGTACATAGGTCGATATTTTCGTATTTATTGGTTTATTAATTTAGTAGATTATATACTAAACGTGCAAGTTTTGAGTGAACAAATGCCGAAACACATAATTGAATACCCTAATATTTAAGAATGTTTAGATAAATTCTGAAAAATTTTTTAAAAATATAAACCCTAAAAATGAATATAAAGTTAAATTTGTCATAAATTGCAAAATAAAAACAACATTAAAATAATCAGTATCACTTGAAACACAATTTTTTCTCCCGGACCTATTCGTTCATATCAGAAAATAAAATGCATTTGCATCAAAATTCCAACCTTACTGATCATATTTAATCAATTTGATATAAACTGCGAAGGTTATCGAATACATTTTCGATTTATGAGACAGTTTAGAGACATTTAAAACTAAACAATTAAGACACATCTGATTTTGAGCGTGCAGCAATAGTGATGACCAGGGTTGGGATTTTATAGCACTTAAAATTGCATTAATATGCGCTATAATATTACCTTAAAAATCGCTAAATAAGCTCTAAAAATATGCAATAAAAATAATAAAATATGCAAAAAAAAAAAAAAAAAGGAAATGTATTGTTTAGTAATTTTATACAAGTACAAGAGACAAATGTAGACAGTATAAAATGATTTCATTAATTCTACACTCGTTCGTTGATAATCGACTATTAGTAGATTTAGTAGAAATCGACAAAAAAAAACAAACAAAATCAGCAGATAACAAAAATTAAAACCAAATAACTAAAACGAAATTATCGTAATATTATATTATACCTACCTATATATTATCGCTGTAATTGTACAGCGTTGCATCAGCGTAATTGGTCTATTTACTTAATCTATACATTTTTAATTTACTTGAAAATTCGATTAATAAAAATAAAAAAAAAAAGTTGACTAAAATACAATTTCATAAAATATACCCGATTTTGATTAAAACACAGGTAAAATGCAAAAAAGTCTCAACAAATCCAAAAAAAAACACTAAAAACTAAAAAATGCAAAATATGCATAAAAAAGCAAAATACAATTATTTATTTGAATTCTCTGTATCACGAAACACATTTTTAGCTTAATCTGCTATTTTTTAAGCATCTCAACTCTGGTGATGACTATATATTACAGAAAACTAAATGGTGCACCATAATAATATTATAATATCTTCTACTCGTTAAGACTCAAACGCACCGTTATTTTGTTTAGAATCTGCGTTTTCACGCAGTGCTTTCATTCGATTTGATTTTTTTCTTCTATGCTATGTGATTAACATTACGCGGTACACACACATTTATAACCAGCGGCGTAAGAAGACTCGCTAGTGACATTAAAAACTTAGAAAAAGTTACCAACTAACCAATTAAAAAGTGATATCATGATATCTTTTTTAACCTTTAATTTTACTAATATTTTTAAGTATACAATTTATACTTATAAGTTATTATTACCGTGTTAATTTTAAACTTTGAAAATTTGCTTTTCTCTCTTTATAACTGACAAATTCATCGATAGTTTCTTCATATGAAATTTTTTATTTAAACTCTCTATTTTCATAATTTCATAAATAAATTCGCACGTAGTGTATATAAATAGACAACATATACGTACTTCAAAATGTATAATGGAAAAATGTCGAATAAATTGTAGGATAAAAGTACGACTTTTGCATAATTTTGCGCCCCTGGCGTAGGCCCAGTTCGCCATATCCTTGCTACGCCTCTGTTTATAACAGGATATGCCTAATAATAATATAATAGTGTCTTCCGTTACAAATTCATCACGGTACTCCAGAATCGGGTGGCAATCCGTCGGATGGGTTTCCGTGCGAATTCCCGACAGTGAGTGCGTAACAAGTAAACTAACCATTCTCCGAGGTCTTGAATTTTTGTATTACCCGTTCACGGGTAATAACACGACGATAATGACGTAACGCGAACATGGAACGCAAGTGGATTTTACCTGGTACGCGAGCACGTACGTCCGTGTACGAAATCGTATTTCAACGCTTCCCGCGCGGAAACCGTAACCCTGAGAATCCCGGAACAATGGGATTTCAGTTTCTTCACTTTTTACGTAAAAGTCGAGTGCGCGCAAAGTTTCACCGGACGAACGTGCGCGCACACGAGAGCACCTCTTCGGTTATAACAACATAGTGTACGTTTGTTATGTAGCATAAGTTATTTTTTTACGTTATCGTTATTTTTATGTTATAATTTCGGCGGCACCACGTTGTTATTTGTCCGTCCGATTATACCACAAGAAACTTGTGTGTATCATACTGCGGACGAGCACGTGATGTCGGCTCGTTTAGCACGAAAACGGCGAAAACGAATCCGCGGTGCCGGTAGATTCCGTTCCCAAGAGAGTGTTTTTTATCGCATTTAATTTGATTTGTCGATTTTTATTTCGCAGGCACAACGAGGACGGATCGTACACGTACGGTTACGAAGGATCGGATGGATCGTTCAAGATCGAGACGAAAACGCGCACGGGCGAAGTGTCGGGCAAATACGGTTACGTGGACGACTTGGGTAAGCTGCGCGTCGTCGAGTACGGGGCCAACAAGTACGGGTTCCAACCGGCCGGCGACGGCATAACCGTACCGGCGCCCACGTTGGTCGAGCTGCGCCAGGAAAACGACGGTGAACCGGTGGAGGAGGAGGAGGAGGAACGAACCAAGAAACCGTCGCCCGCGTCCCGGCCCGGCAAGCACGCGTTCGTCCAGCAGCAGCCGCGGCCGGAACCGCAACCGCAGTTGCAACGCGAACCGCAACGGCCGACCACGGACACGGTCCGGTCGTCCGTGGCCGACTTCGACGACTACGACGCGGCCGGATGGACGTCCGCGCAGTCAGCCGAACCGCAGCGCTCCGTCGCGCCCAAGCCCGCGGCCCGACCACGGCCGGCGGCCGGACGTTTCGGCGGTGCCGCGGCCGTCGCGGCTCGCCCGAAGTCGCCGGTGCCACCACCTCCCCAAGTGGCCGGATCTTTCAGAGCCGCGCCGGAAACGGGATCACCACAGCAGGCGCCTTCGGGATCGTACCGGAGCGTGCAGGCGTTTGGCGGTGAGGCGTGGGCCGCGAGCCGATCGGACGCCGAACGTCCGACCGCCGCGGTCGACCACTCGTACGACACGTTCGAGGATCAGCAAGAGCCGGAGACGGAATCGCCGGCGGTGTTCCGGGCGGCCGCGAAACCGGCTGTACGCAACGGCGGTGGTTCCGCCAGGGCGGCGCAGTCACCGTCGGCTGCCAACGGCTACCGTTCAGCGCCCCGGCAAATGCGCACCAGCAGCATTCTTGACCAGCTGGCCGAACAGTACGCGCTGCCCGAGTCCGGGTCGCCTGTCGCGCACAGCGTTTCGTTTGGGCTGGACCATTGACGCGCCCTACCAATGTCACGATGTGCATAATTATTATATTGTACGGTAAATACTCGTGTAAATATTTTTAAGTGTACATTACGACGATGTAGTTTAAAATCAATTTTTAATTTTTTTTTTTTACATTTTTTTATATAATATATACATATTGGTATATGACACATGTGTGTTTTTGAAAAGAGCGTTTTTTACGGTCACGCGGTAGACATGATAATATAATGCCCCGAGTGTATAATGGTACATCATCTTAGAATGCAATCGCGAATCAGTCCGAGTTCATGAGATTCCCACAATAGCACAGTAATGTTTTACTGTTAACGATTTATCGAGGAATAAAACTGTTGCACAAGATTATTTATTCGTCAGGATATTTAATCAAGGCTTCAACCGCACATCGACAGTGCAGATAATGTGTCCAATAACGTTGGTGTCTCTCTTTTGTTAAAAAAAAATGTAATGCGTGGCTTACAAAGAAACCAGTTTACCTAGAGTTAGAACACGGAAGGTTAGGAATTTTTTTTTTTACATTCAAAATTAATTTTACACCGAAATTATTAGTTTTAATTGTCAGTTAAGATTACATTGTGTTGATGAGAATTTACAATTATATTTTAGATAACATCTGCAATTGGTTGATAACTTGTTGGTTTTATAGGGATTTCAGTACAAGCATGTAAAATGCCCTTATAGCGTTAAATATTTAAATTGCAATAATAATATAGTACATATATATATATATATATATATATTATACACCAACCTCCGTTTGAAATATAATTTGAATGTGAATATTCATTTTTGTTTTCAAACTCATACAAATAACATGAATATAATAATGCATTGGTCCTCAGTTACCTGTACAACTTTCGATTAAATCCAATTATCTGTACCTTCTACATCATTATATTAACAAAATGAAAGAAGATTACTACTGATTCCGAATCAGACATATGTGTGCAATTTTATTGTTTTATTTTTAAAGATAAAATATAATGTATTAAAGAATGAACACAATCATTTATGATATATCTTAAAAAACATGTATTCTATGTACATTACTTTTTAAATGTATTATAATGTATATTCTTTGAACTACCTTAAATTGATGTTTCAAATATGTCATAAAACTATTTAGTTAAATAATAATATAAAAATCTAACCATCAATTTATACATACGAGTATAATACTTTTATGTAGATAACACATGCATAACATGCATAATTTAAATCACTCGATTGCCCTGAAATTAATATTCTGTTTGTTTTCCAAAAAGTATCATTTTACTCTTTATGTATTACATTTCAATATATCGTCATTGTTGATATTATAGGTAAACACATATCACAATTAATAATCATACATTAATACATCATTAAGCTCAAAAGACTACTTAAATATTTTGAAATGAAGATACATATACTTTTCTCAGCCATAATTGAATCGGTCATTTCAAAAATGCCATATCTCCATAAAATTAAAATTGTCAGGAAATGAAAAAACTATTTTTAGAGATCAAAATTAAATTTAGATAAAAATTAAAAATGGGTTGAATTATTTAATTCCCTTATAAAAAACCAACTATGATATGGTAGTCTTGCATGAAATATGCATCATTATTAGATCATCAATACATCTATCACATAAAACTAGTTTTGAAAATGTATGGAGAAATAGCCTTTTCGAAATGACCGATTCAATTAGAACATTGCACTGTTTAACAAAAAATATAATATTTATTATATATTTTCACGTATTATGTGAACAAATGAAAACAGAAAAATCATCCTTAATATAATTTGAACCTTTAAAGTTTTATTCTGTAAACATAAATATATTTTAACGAGTTGTATTCTACGCCATGATAAATTCCAAACGAATATTAAGGACAAAAAATAATCATACAATAGTACTCATGTTCTTATTTTACATGATTAAAAGTGATTTTATTAAATGATTAGAATTACACAATCTATAGTTTGTTTTTTTTTTTCATTAATATAATTTCTTTGATACATATAAACTGACTGATAAAAGGAGCCGTCTAACGGTGGCACTTTTTAACTTGATTAATTAATAATGAGAGTTGATTTTGATTTATGAGGTCTTTTCAACATTGGCGAGCTAACTGTTCCGGAGAATATACGAAAATAATATTTGAATTTAGTACTCTGATAAGAGGGTTTGAATAGATGACTAAGCAGAATCGAAATCGCTTGTAAAATATGGATGCAATTTATGCCATAAGACATATAAGACATCATAAGACGGACCTATTACTAGGTAGAGTGAAATTGATAGGAACGTTTGAATATTTTATAAATTGGATAACTTGGATGTTCCCTATATTAAAATTCTGTAAAATACACCAAAGGTGTATTAATAGCATTTTGAACGTTTTGAACATTTCTAATTTATTTTTCAAATTGATTTTTAATTGTTATTTAGAACCTACGTAATTGTAAGATAAAGGTTTCAGAGGTGATTTAAACTTAAATAATTTTATGTATAATCATTATATTTATAAATTTATATAAATATAAAATAGTTTTTCTATGAGTTATATATTAAATATTTTAACTTAAAATCGAGTCATTATACAACCCGATTATATAGTGCAATAGAAAATGAAAGAAGAAATAATGAACTGAGGCGGAACTAAGAATTTTTACGCTCGAGGAAAATGTTTAAATTACGCATTATCATTAATCAAGAATCAAATACGCTTCCATATAATTTTTTCTTATAATTAGCATACAACCATACTTATTTTAAACACATTATCAGTTTATAAAAAAATTAAAAATATTAAATTAGTAGTCAATAATAATTTGTATACTATAAAAATTACACCCCTTCCTCCCTTTTGTCCCATCCCTGATTAAAAATATAATTAAGATAAACCTGTAAGAAATAATAACCATTGATTATATTCAAATAAGCAATCAAATATTAAATTTAATTAGATTCTTCGTTGTTCATTCGTATCATAGCATTAAAAATTTAAAACGCTTTACATAAACTTCTAAATTCGTCAAAAAGCCAAATTAAATCGTACTTGTACTATTTATCGGTATACACAATAATTAAAAGTCTAAATTCTAATTTATAAACAGTGCTGGGAACATCGAACAGAATTGGCTGGAGAAGAAAGTAACAAAGTTCATTCGAGCCGGTCTTGCATTTCGATTCTGAATTTCACTGACCAATAAAACCTGTCACCCGGCCATCGTTATGGTATGAATATTATTTATTTTCTGAAATAATTCTCAGAAAACGATTTTTACAAATAGGATTTCAAATAAAGTTTATAACTTTTCGAGGGACAAGAACAGTTTCTTTATAACATACGAAACGAACGCACTTGCAATTCGACCGGTCGTCTAGACCCGGAGATTGTTCGTGTTGCATAAAAGTGCATACACGGAAATCGAAAATAAATGAAACACGAAGTTTTCGTTTCTTCTTACCATCTTCGTTTCTGGTAAACTAGCGCAAACGTACACCAAGTGTACGCCGGCACCGGGTCCAATTAAATTCGTAATTAAACCCGTGTAAAACGTACGCGTTACGCAACCGGCGCGTACGTCTCACCGTGACTAACCGCGAACCCGCGAACGCATCCGTCGAGATTTAAATTTCCGACCGCGTGGGTATTTTTTGTTTTTTCTTATCGTCCGATCGGTACAACGGTCCGATAACGTGACGATAACTTGAATACGAACAGAATACGCGGGCTCGTACCGTATTATTTTATACGCCGTTTAATCGATTGTCGGGAACGGTTTTTCGCGACCTCTCCGACCTCCTGCCGCGTGACCTGCGGCCTACGCGACGACCACACTCGTTCTGTTCACTCCCCCTCGGTTCGGACGGGCGGTTCGCGACATCCACCACGGTTGTGAAACCGATCCGCGCGAGTCGTCATCGTCGTCGTCGTCGAATGAATGAAACATTACGGTGGCGCAACAGCTCGAAAACGGTGAAAACCCGGCCGCGGCATTAACCATTCCGGGCCCGATGCGTGTCCGAACCGACTGACGAAATCGCCGCCGTGATCCGACCGCGTATCCGACGGTCATCGGTATTCCCGGCGCGATCGGCGACGTCCGAGAGAGAGCATTGGCTGTGGTGGCCGTTCGCTAACGCAAAGTTCAAGGCCGCGGACTGACCGGCTGGCACCGGCGCGACGACCAACGACCGCCGCGGCCACCGGACCGATGTCCCGTCGCACAATGGGCTGTCCGCCCGGAGAAATCGAGACCGCGAATCTGACCCTCTTGACGGCGGCACGCGTTTTCGCGTTGTTCGTGCGGCGCGAGGTTTTGGCAGCGGATCACGGTGGATCCGCGTCAGCTCGCGTGTTACCAACTCATCGTTCTCAGATCTCGCGTACGCGTTAGAGGTTGAAAACGTTGAGATTTTTTTTCATTTTCCAAAATTGACAGTCGACTATATCCTACTGGTGGTGATATTTTCGAAAACGATCGATTTCGACGGTCCAAAAGCGGACAGTACATTTTTTTCTTCGTTAAATGTATCGTATGCAACATTACGACATACCGAGTGTTCGTTTGGTTCTCGATTTCATTCGCAGTCAATACGCGCTGAACGAAACTGTGTCATGAATAAATCTATAACTATCAGATTGTTATAGCACCATCAACAGTCGAAGAGTCCGATAAATATTACAAAATACACATTTTTCTAGCTCGTGTCATGATTTAACATTGATAATTGTTATTATTAAAATCCGGATTTCTATGCATTTACGTATTTGTAATGAGTGTATGCAGCTTGATGGTAGTAAGAAAAAACAATGAAATATAATGAAATAGCATTCAGAAAACTTCACTGTTTGCTCAATGGTCAATATGAAACATGCATCACTAACCAATGGTGTGGTGAACTTAAAAATGTTCGGAGGCAAGTATATTTTGTCAAGGCCATCCCAAAGGGAGGTCTTGGGGGTATTTCACTCCCCCCCCAACAACAAAAATACCAGTCGGCAGTCGGACTTGTTTCATTTTAGCCTAGAAGGATCTAATTTTACTTACGGAAAACAAATATTACATACTTTGTAATACAGTGTATACACGAATAAAACGTATATAACTACTTATTATATATATATAATTAAATTGTCAATTATAAGAACGTGTGACACTGACACATACATACATGTTAAAAAGTAAAAATGCGACTATATATAGTTAAATATACTACATACATTGAGTAAAAAAATTGTAGACGGCATTTTTCATACTATTCATCCCACCCTGATTTTCATCTTCGGAACGGCCCTGTATTTTGACGATGCCTATCCACCCTCCAAAAACTGAGAGGTAGCCGTTTCTCGAATACCCACATCGCCACGCCACTTTCACTAACATCAATAGTTGTGGAAAGATAATTTAAGTATTTATAAACATATAATAAGTGATAAGACAAATATGACACCTGAACACATATATTATGAATTATTTTTATAAAAAATAAATATCATAAATTGTATTTATCCATCATAACGTTTTTGTTAATAAATACATTTTTATTTTTTATTAAATTTCAATATTTTTTATATTTCGTAAATATTTACCAAAGAAATGGTATAAAGGATTTAATTCATTTTTATTTGTTTATTATTATTACTAACTAAAGTATTTGTTCTATTTGTTGAATATATGTGTAAATATTTGCTACAGTTAATGTTATAAGTTGAAATCTGTACTGAAGATACTAAGTTTATTTAATTGAGTAGCATTTATATTTATGGGAAAAAAATGAATAAAATATATTAAAATGTATTTATTTTGGATAAGAGCATATTTTTGCATATTATGAAAAAAAAATAAAAGTATATCAAGAGCATATTTAAAGATATTTCAATGAATAAATGCATATTATTTTAAGCTTTTTAAGTGTATATAAATCCAGACTCCAGTTATTATTGATAATTTGATCCTTTCAATATAATCAGGTATATAATACACAACTCTTATAGAAAATATTGCTACATTTAAAACCGAATGTTGAAATATTTAAAACATACTCTGTGACATACTTGGTCATTTTAGATACAGAAAGCAAAAAATATCTTCTCACGCCTAAACTATAAGATTTAAAAATAAACTATTATGAAATACAAATTACAGTTGACAGATTACCAAAGCTAACATAAGGCAAATGTTTAAGTTCGTGTAATGCAATTGGGTCAATGATCCTGTTGAATTATCCAAGGCCAAAAAAATAAATTACAAACAACCCGTGTAACCTTTGTATTATACAATACGATTCAATCTACCAAAGACTGAAAAGGAACATAAAGGTTTAGAAAAGTATCGAGTCATTTAGCACAAATTTATTTCTTGCGCTAAAATCATTATACGCAAAAAGAAATGAACGAATTAAACGCAACTAAACAAATCAACAAAAATGTGATTTAAACGAAACGTACAAATAAACACGATAGAGCATTTTCTTAGATTTAGATCATATAATTTTCAATTATTAGCTACATGTACGATTTTTACTACGGTAATTCGTTTTAAAATGTATCGATACACCTGCTATTAAACAATTTTTAAATTTTGCGAAAAATTTACAACATAATTAATAAACATTTAAACATATTATAAGTACAATTGTTGAATAGTAAATATTTTAACTGTCGTGTTATCTATTCCATTCAATTTCACATGCATATTAGCATAATCGGCAATAACCGAAATAAAATTATAATATATCTATGATTTAAATACAAATTAGTCTGCCCAACTAACAACTATAGTAACAACAAAGTTTATTGCGTTCAGTTGATATAATTATAATTATAACAATAATAACAAAAGAAAATTAATATTTATGTAATGAGATTAGATTAATCAATCGTTTAATCTAATAATCTTGTTACATAATAAATATCATAACGTAATATAATTAATCCTTATCGTTTGTTATCTCAAGAGTTTCTAATATACTAAACGAATTGTAGTGAATAGATAATATTAAACCGTTTTAAATATAACACATAGAATGCGTGTTTGGAAAATGCTGTGTTGTGCATATATTATATATGTATTCAATTTGGAGAGTTGTCTTGTTTGCGTTTTTAACGAACACGTCATACAATACTCGTATTATACAATTATAGTTTAAATATTATGTATTATTAGTGTGTCCAATGTAATACATACCCAAAGGCTAAATATAATTTATACTTATGAACAATATATAAGCAGGTGCAGGCTGTGTTACAACTGATTACATTATACGAAAACTTAGCCTCTGAATTTTTTTTTTATTTTAAACGAATTCACAATGATTTCCTGACGTTACTATTTATTTTTATGTAGAACATAATTACATTAATTATTCATTATAGAGTATAGATAAATGTAACTGTGTACGATGCATTAGTTGGTATTAAAGTTATAGTATTTAAATGCATGTATCGTGTGCATTTCATTTTATGGCCTTGCGAACGGAAATTGTAAATTGTTTTACTTCAGATTTGCAATGCCGTTAAAAATCGATCGGAAAAACTCGCATTTATACTCGTAGTATAACGGATTTCAAACTCAACGCAAGCATATACTAATAACAAAATTTGCCCGGATCGCTTCACGTAGTGTGGTAAACAATGAAATATATAAATCGTCTAAAACAATTATTACAATCGAATGCTTGAGAAGGTAGGTACTAAAAATCTGAAGAAAAAAAAATAATTAGCGAATCCAACGACATCCAACGACAACATGTTCACGTGCAACACGGCTGAAAACATTACAGTGTCGGGATGAACAAATTATACGGTTTCGGAAATAACATTAAACTCGTGATGGTGACGCGTTCGATAATAGTAATAGCTATCCAATGACTCTACAGTTTACACCGCGGGCGAGAGCGCGTTCGTGTGAACGTCAGCAAGGATTGCGTACCAAACAATATCATTCGTCCGGATCGAGATTTATCCTGGAGACTGAGGTTTTTTTTCTTTCTTCGGCTGAGCCATTGGCCGTCGAACAATGCACGCGTGTTACGAAGAAAAAAACCAAAACACGGGCGCTTTAACCGACACAAAGGGAACGTGTGTACGATGAGTTGCACTGTATAGAACACGAGACGTAAAAATAAACTTTTAATTTATTGTGGCCAAAGTGTGCTCGAGTGTGTGCGTGTGTATTGACCCGGGGCGCCGCAATCGATATCTACATGGACACGGTTATGATGACAAAACGCGTTACATTATATTAATTAAAGGTGCGGTAACGTTCGGAGGGTACGCGGTGGCGATCGGTGACGGAACGCGCAATAATGAAAACACGAACAAGCTGTTTTCGGCGGGTCGGTGAATCCGTACGGCGTACAAGCGTACGGGAGGGATACCATATATTTCTCGAAAGTCCCGAGTATTTCAAGTATTTTTTTTTTTTTTTTTTGCGTGCAAGCATAGTGTTATTCAGAGCACAGGTCTTACGCAAAATAGTCATGTCTCGCGTAATATTACCTGCGCACACACGCACGTATACACGCACACGCAGCGGACGCGCGCGCACATGCGTCGTTGGGAGAGGTCCGATCCGGAGGATCAGCAGAAGTCTGAGGTTCTGCAGGTTTCGGCCGAAACGCCGAGGCGGGGGAAAGTTATAAAACCGTCGCGGTGCCCGCTCGTCCGGCCAGTGTGCCACTGAATAAGACGATATCGTTTAGGACGTTCGAGACATCGCTGCAGTGCCCTTAACAGGAGCATGAGTTTTTATTTTTTAAATTGAGTTTAAAACAATAAATACGTCAATTTGAAGCCTTCTACTGGTACTCCTACTACTTATACTACTAATACTTCTACACGCAAGCAGTGCAATCATGTACGCCAAATACTTTTGGGTGAGTAATTCGATCACATTTTGTAAACTTGTATATTATATATCTATATATATACTTTATCTTTCTATTATGTTTATATAATATAGTAAACATGACGCTGAATATGTAAACAGTACTTGTTATGCTCTTTTTTTTAATTACATTTTCAACTGGTAGCAGTACTTAACACAGAACTTCTATTTAATATTATTTAAACTCATAAGTATCAACGAAGACGATTTCTTCGCATGGACTTAACCGTTCATTTAATTTAAAATAAGATTATTTTCAAACCACAACTTCAATACGATAATTGATTTGATCTGATTACATGATAATATTCAATTAAAAATATTATATTTTGTTAAACAATGTTGTATCAAAGTTATTGGTTAAGGATTTTCGTATAAGCACTGCTTACAGATGTCCTTTTGTTCCGAGTGTATAATGATAAAGTCATATTTCTATTCTATTGGTTTTCAATAGCATGCAGGGTATCTATATGAAATATTTAGGTGGATAAAAACGATGAAAACCGACATCGCTGACTGAAAGTGACACACGTAAAAGATTAGAAAACAATGGTACAGAGAATTTTTTTTCTTAAGATTTTACAAAAGCGGTCGATAAAACTCCATTATATTATAGACTTCCTTAGATATATATTTTTTACGCAGTCACGTTAAGACCTTGGTCCTTGATACATTTCATCCTCGTGCATTGTACACGCACGTTCAGATTACTCGGGTGAGACTGTCAATTATGTTTTCTGACCACGGTTACTCAGCACGTTCGATAGTTGCGATTGACGGGAAGAATACATCGTTGTTATGATTGTATTACAGACCTTGAAACGAAAATGAAAAACTTATTTTTCTTTAACGCAAAGATATACAAATATATATATATATAGGTAGATGGATGTATTTGTGTTTAATATTTTACTCCGAAAACCTACGCGTCAGTGGTCTATTTTAAATTGACCAGCGAGTATATAGCATTATGCAATCGATTCCCAAGCCAACACCCATGACACGAATGTTTACGGCGCCGTTTCCCAACGGACGCGTATCAGAAAACAATAATCGAGGTTCGAAAATCATACTTACTACAACTAGGTAGTATTGTAACTACAACTTTTTTTTTTCTTTTTCGAAAACAAAATTAATATTGAACGTTTAATCGTAGACCGGAACATAATAAGCATAGACCCGTGGACAAATGCGCTTTCTCTAATCGTTATCTAGGCTTTTATTATCTGTGTTCGTCATCACGCGTAATATACAATAACCGTTATACAATAATGATTGCAAAACAACGCTCCGTAACATTTCTCACATTCACATGGTCATTACATTATAATATCGTTTTTTTTTCTAATTTTTTCGTAAACAATGATGTATCCGTTATTAATAATTCGTATTCGTTAAAAGAACATTTCACCTCGGGTCAACTCAACCGTCCGACTTGTAGGTGTGTGCGTGCGTGCGCGCGTGCTATTTCTTAAAGATTCGATCGTGATCTATACTGCCGCTTAGATCTACAATAATATGTCCTTGGTACTTCGCGATCACGGATCAACCGCATTGTAATATTCGGGTCACACGGTTCCCCGTGGGAATCTTATCGTTTTCAACGAACCGGCCGACTCGACGCGTGGGTAAAATTAAATGATTTATTTCACCGCGATTGTTGTAGCGATACGATCCGGGACGGTGAAAATGTGATTTCGCAGTGCATATCTTCCGCCGAGCGAGCAGCCCTTCGCCGCGACTCAATCTCGTACTTTCCCGTTTTTCTTTATCCTCAAATTTTCTGTCCACAGGGCGTGTTGCTCGTGACACTGCTGAGCACAGCGGTGGAGAGTAGACGAGTAGGCGCAAGACCGGCCGAGGACGATGCGGCACCGCAATCAGATGTCGAACAACAGTTTAAGCCGGTGTTGATCGCGCGCAGACCGTTGCAACAGCGAGTGCCGGCCACCGAGGTGGAGAGCGAGCGGCAGCCAGTGGTCGTGGTCCGCCAGACGCCGAGGCTGTTGCAGCAACGGCCGCGCGAAGAGGAGCAGGACGACGAGGAACCGCAGCAACAGGTGCTGATCAGGCAACCATCGCCCAAGTCGGTGCAGCAGCTACGCGCGCAACCGCCAGCGCAACAGTTGCTCCAGCAGAGGTCCAACAAGGAGCAGCAGCCGCAGGAGCAGCAAAAGGAACCGACCGCGCAGACCATCCGGAACTTCAACAAGCTGAACGACGACGGTTCGTTCACGTTCGGCTACGAGGCGGATGACGGCAGTTTCAAGGAGGAGACACGCGGTACGGACTGCGTGGTCCGCGGCAAGTACGGTTACGTGGATCCGGACGGCAACAAGCGCGAGTTTTCGTACGTGCAGGGCAATCCGTGCGACCCGAACGCCGCGTCGGCCGAAGACGACGACGAGCAGCAGCAACAGCAGCTGGCCGGTGGCAAACCGGACGAGGAGGAGAACGTACCGGCCAACGTGCCCAGGCCCAAGCCCAAGAAGAACAACAACCGGCCGACCACCACGCTGTTCCAGCAGACGTTCGGCGACTTTGAGCAGCCACAACCGCAGCCGCGCCCGCAGCCGCAACAGTCCGTGGCCCCTCGCCAACCGGGTCGCCAGGAAACGGTGCGCAGACCACCACCCCAGATCTTGTCGCCCGTGCAGCAGCAACAGCAGTTCGCTGACCTGCCATCGTCCACCGTGGCACCGTCGTCGCCACAGTTGCCGTTCCGGCCTTCCATCGGATCCGCGGACAACCTAGAGTCGGCTATCCGCAACCTGCCGCAACCGTCCGGCAAATCGCAGCTGGTGCCCGCCGGGCCCAACTCACCGCTGTACACCACCGAGCTGGTGTTCGACCCATCCACCGGCCAGTACAACACCGTGATATACCAGCAGGTGCCCAAGCAGCCGGTCGGCATCAACATCAACCAGCGCCTGCCCTTGGCCCCGGCCAGACAGCCGCAACCGCAGTTCCAGCCGCACTCGCCTCCACAGTTCCAGTCGCAACCGCAGCCGCAGTCGTTCCAGCCGCAACCACAGTTCCGGCCATCCACCGTCCAGCCGTCGTTCCAAAGACCCATTGAGTTCGACTTCCAGCGACCGGCGCCGTCATCCGCCGTCCAGCAGCAGCAGCTGGTCCAGCAACAGCAAGCCCTGATGTTCCAACAGTCGCAGAACCTGTTCAGACAGCAACAGAAGCAACAGCAGCAGGCACCGTTCCAACCGCAGTCCACGCAGTTCTTCCCGCCGCCGCCGTCCCCACAGCAGTCGCAATTCGCTCCGCTGCCCAAGCAACAGCGTTTCGAGCCCCAGCCGGAAGCGCATCAGCAACAGTTCGTGCTCGTGCAGCCCGGCCGGACGCCGGGACAGCAGAGTTTGGCCGCCGGCCAGATCGACGCGTTTCTCAGAGGCCACAACGTGCAATTCTAGACGAATACGTTTTTATATTTAATTTCTATTTGTAAATAGACAACAACGGTATATCATACTGCCCGCGTGGCACGTGTACACGGTACAACTTTACTAACGTGCTCGACAACAATAACAATAACAATAATGCCCGTTTCGTTTAAGCTTGATTAAGAATGTGCAACGCGTTTCGCGTTTTTAATGCGTTTGATACTCCACGCGCTATTCACACCCGTTCGGCTAATCGGTTTCACCGAACGCAGGTGAAAGCCACGAATCAAATGTATACTTCGCTAAATGCTGATGATTTAATTTTTGTTTTACTTTGTTTATTTTTATAATAATTGTTTTTCTTTCTTTCTTCTGAAACGTTTGATCCTCGTACCATAGTAATGTTTCGAGAACGAAAAGAAAAAAAAACAAATATGCTCAAGTTCTCTCGATGTTTGTAAATAATAACTTACCTTTTACGTTGTATATTATTCTATTATATTATTATTATTATCTTATCGATGGAAATAAAAATGAACAGTGTGAGAAAAAAAATTACTGTTGTTTTCACTTTCCTACGCGTACGATCAGTGCAACGCGATGTATGTATACGTATCACTTCCGCACCTGAATCCGGTTTGCTCTAGATGACACAACCCGATCGTGCGTTTAATTGATATGCGCATATATGTACATGGATCCAACAACCGTTGACCCAAATTGGATCGCCGTCCGCCGCAGTCGATGGATTTATATCGGGACGAACCGCCGCGGGCGTGGTGACCACAGGTCGGCCGTACAACACTGTATGTATATCACGTCGGGTTCGAAATAACATAGTTATGTCATAATCACAATCCGGTGGACTTCTGCAACCAGCGCAACGGAACGATAATGTCACAACAATATTGTGGACCTATTGTTATAATACATGATGGGTGAAGGTTAAAAAAGAACACGGCAGAACATATATTATCTAAATATACAACGCATTACACGTGTATTGCCATAACGATGTTGTGGAATTTACTAATATTATTGTTACAAGTACATTGAAGTGCTGTTGAACGGTTAAACTCGGCCGAAGCGATAGAATAACAATGAAAGCTATTAGACAAGCGCTGGTAATCTATGATAATCTATTGATAATTATTAAATAGCTATCGCCGTCTAACGTAGTGAACGTCAGCGGACGCACGGAAAATCCAAAACTTAAAAGAAAACTATTTCAAATGTAAATTCCATAGCTTTCGTCTTGTATATATGGATCCAACTACACTCCGTTCCTATTAATCTACTGTTACGTTCCTTTCGTAATAATTATACGTTTACGTTTACACACGTTTCGAAAGAAACGAAAATATACAACATTCTAACTTATTGTCTCGTCGAATTTCGGGAATGTTTCGCTATGTTATACTATTAGCCTAGAATGAAAAATTATCAGCATAATAATCAAAATTTATAAACAGCATGTATAGTTATAAAGGCTATCTCCCAATATGCGATCTACCAAAATGGACGTGGTCTACCATAATAATATTAATAGTATAAATAAAAAAAATTTTAATTTATTAAGGATCCACAAAGCATAATTTCATATTTCTAAGGAAAGCATCAAAAATATTATCTCCATTATATTTTTCCTCGGTCATTTCTTTGGTATAGTTTGACTTCATTGCCACATTTGTGTCATTGTTTTGCACAAGGTAGTAGGTTATAATCTTGCAAGTATTTGACTATAGATTCTTCAGTTAAAAAAAAATTCATAAAATTCTTTAACTAGCATTTTAAAAACTAATTTTTCAGCTCAAAATTTAAAAAAAATTTTTTTACCACAAACGACACTAAACCAAATATAACTCAGTAACCTGTATTTTTACATGATAAAATATATATATCGTTATGAAAAATTAAGATAAGACATATAAATTGGTGGATAATAAATAGTAATGACTGGGGATTCCCAGCTGTAGGTAGAACACATAACATTGGTAGACCGCATACTATACTTATATTTATAGTTACGTAGCACACAAAACGGAGGTAGACCGCATATTGGGAGATAGCCAATATAACTAGGGCTAGGGTAGTGTAGGATCTTGCATTATTTTTTTTTTTAGGATTTACAGGACATAGCTTTTCAAGCACTAAATGTGATTTGGTCATATATGAGTCCAAGTATATAGTTTTTAATTTGATTTTATTTGCATTTTTTGTACTCTTATGGATTTAGGGTCATTTTGTAGCATTTTTCGGTCATTTTTTCAATTTTACGAGCATTTTTTATACTTTTTTGAAACCTAAGTAATATTTTTATACATTTTCATTAACATTAGATGTTCTCAATAAAAGTTTTGAATTCGTAACAGAAATAATATCATATTCAATATCTCAATAATTATATAATTATTATAAAAATAGTGTACTAATACTCGGTATCAATAATAAAACGACGTATATTTTACAACAATAATCTTCGTTTCAAAGTTTTACATATATTTTTTATTTTGTAGTATTTTTTGTTGTTTATTTCTAAAAAGTTCATGTTGGCCATTATATGATAAGTCCAAATTTTAAACTGTAGTTATTAACTTTTTTTTTACTATTTTTCATAATATTATAACTTAAATAATTTTGTACCGAAATATTAATTAATAATTAATATTTATAAATTTATAATGCATTTTTATAATATTTTAAGATCATTTTTTATCTTTTGGACATTTTTAAGGTCATTTTTTATGTTTATTTTGTTATTAAAATCCTAGCCCTAGTTATAAACATTCATGTAGAATATTTTCTTGAAAACTAACAGTTTCTCAATTATATTTTTGCTTCTGATGAATGAATAAATTATTTTTTCAGATATCATTATAAATAGTGATTTTCTATTGTGAATCATTACATTTTTCGAACGTGTTCCGTTCAGAATCTAAAATCTAAGACTACTACTACTACTACTACTGTTGATTCTATTTTCAATACATTTCTCAATTCGATTTCATAAGCACAACAATTAGTATTCTCAAACGACGAATATTTATATCTAATGTCACTCAGACGGACACTCAATAATAATGTATTTTTTCAATGTTATTATTAATAACAGTTTAGAATTTAACTGTATATATTTTTTAAGTTCTCAATTAAATATTCTTTATTACATATTTTAATTAGACTGCACAAATAACAATAATGTTTAAAAGCATGATGATTATAATGATTATAAAATATTATAAATAAACGTCAACGTTATACTTATTTAAATAATATTAAATATACTCTCAATAAATGTATTTTATTTCCACAGTTAGACACATTGTATAGATTGCATAATACCTGACAATAAATCATTATATTTTAACTGAAACGTATTTACTAATTATTTATTATTTATTATTATATATTATTATTATTATATTATTATATATATTTAAAACAAAAAAATGTAATTTTAATATAATTAAATTATATGACGGTGTACCGATAAAGTGCAAAACTATAACGTATTATTGTAATATAAAAATATTTATACTTGGTAGTTACAAATATACTCATTACCTGTACCAATATTGAATTGTTCAGTTATTTATTTAAAGTCTAATAAATACATTTTTCATATTCTTATTGCATATGCAATAACATTAGAAAATAATCTGGATAGCTGGAGAGTTATATGTTATATTAGTTATATGAATAATAATAATAATCCTTTAACGTAGTTCAATTACCTAGTCGAAAAAATAACTATATGTTCACTGAGAACAATTTACCGTTAATTATAACTATTATGTAATGTTATAAGTTTATTGATTAATACCAAATAAAAAAAAAGCCCTAGGCTACTTGAATTATTGTGTCATATTTTAGATATTAGGTAATAGTATTTAAATTAACTAAGTTTCTAATTTTTAAATATTCTGTACAATTGATTACAATTAATTAACAAAAACAATATTTGATAATTTCACAAAACAAATAATAACCACTAAGCTAATTATGACTTTCGGCTCTATGTACAATATCATATCATTATTGATGCTATATTGTTATATAATGTTTATTCTCTTATCTTGATAAACAATTTATGACATTGATTTAATTAAATTTTAACTAATAATATTAAAGTTTAAGGACTATGAAATTTTTGTTCACACTAAAGCTAATAAGAATGCTATAAAATTGAACTAGAGCAAACACAATATTTATTTTCAAAAAATATATTTTTTTTTTTTTTTAACAAAAACATTAATTGTTATATTAAAGATTCGTATTTTTTTTTTCAATTTTTTAAAGTAATATGGTTAAAAGGACAAACGGTTTTTGATAACGAAAACTGATTGTAATTCCTGGTAGTTATAAATATTACTTCCAAGGACGTATTATTCTTCATTATTATGTATTTGCAGTAATTACTAATAACTAACATATAAAAGTTACGATTTTGGGGATTCAAACCCAATCAGGTATATTAGGAAAATTTATATTTCCGTATTTATACACACACATAAAATCATTAGTTTTGATCCTTGTAACAGATATTAGATTAGAAAAAACAAATAAATCAATTTTTTTGTCAATATTTGTTAATTGTTTTTAATGACAGTAATAGTTGCTCTTAAATACCTTAAAAATCTATTTAAAATATTTTTTTATGTAAATGCTTGACCAATTTTGTACATTTATTACACCGAAATATTACAACAATAAAATTAGAATTTGTTAATTTACATTTTACAAAATGTAACAAACAAAACAAACTATGGTTTTATTATTTTTTAATAAATTATTTTCAAATAAGTATCCTATTCCCATACAGGTAAGTTATTGTTTTTAATATTAACTGTGTTAAATATTTATCAAATGTTCACACTTTTAATTATAATTTACCCTATTGAACAATATCTTGGTTTTTGAATTCCAAACTTATTCGATGTCAGGACGTCTTTTTCTTCTTTTCCTTCGTCTTTTTCACTAATATTTAGTTTCGGCACGGTTCATTGTCAGGACGTATAATAAAATACACGAATTATATTTTACTTTCTTTTATTTCTTTATAAGTAGTATTTTTTTTTTTTTTATGTTTTCTTTAACTTTAACCTACCACATTTGTATAAGTTTAAAAATCAATTATTTTAAAATATATCTTGATAGAAAAACTTTTTAATTTTTTTAATAAAATGTTAATAGTTATTTTGCTTCTTTTGAATACAAACAATCTTCTCAGTAGTTTTATTTTTCCCTAATTTTATGAATTTCCATTTGTATAATTGATATTCAACCGATTTATGTACGAAATTCAATCGGCGAACCAAATATTTAATCCATGGTTTACAAATATGCAGTGTAAAAGTTGCGTAAATAAAAACAAATTAAATGAACCAGTTTTCAATAAGTAAGCAGGACACACCCATTTGTACGTGGAATGAGGATATTCGATAACCGTCCATCTGGGTTAGGTATATCAGCTTTCTCCGCCTAGCGC